TTCAAGCTAGAGCATTTTTGCACAAGGTATTCAACGTGTACTTGTGAATCCTGATAATGGTTGTTTATCGGTTCGGTAGACATTGTGAACCTCTAGTTCCTGTTCTGTTTTTTTCAGATAACTTTCCTGGGGTTTTATGTTATTTGGAAGTAGGAAAGTGGGATATTATTTCTGGAAACACTCTTTCTCTTAGTGTGTTGGTGCTATTCGGCTAAAGCACAATTCCACCTAGAGGTCCCATAGTAGAAAAGGACAAGCAATGTATGCAGAGCTCAGATTTTAATTCTGCAAAAACACTGAAAGTCACTAGAGTGATTCACAGCCTCATGTAGAAAAGCTCTCAGTGGATGGGCTTGCTTACCTAGCTGTCCCCCTCCCCTCAGAAAAGAGAGGTTGTAGATTGAGGTCTGTCACCTGGACTGCCTGCTCCCCCCTCCCCCTCCCCCTCCCCCTCCTCAGTGCCCTGTGATGGTCTCAGAAATCTACTGTGGGTTGTAATGATTCCTGGTTCTAGGCTGGAAGGGCACAATGCCAGTTCTGGGTGGTTGCCCATCTCCCATTTCAGATCTCCCTCAGACTACAGGCTTGGCAAAATGCAACCTTGAGCACCCCTCAGAACGTTCAAAGATCGACCTGTTTGGGCTGGCCCTCAGGGGTCTCAGTTGAAATGGGAATGAGGGGAGCAACATTTGCAGTGAACTTGTCTAAGTTGTCTAATCTGTGTGTGTGTATGCATGTGCATGTATGCGTGCTTTTCTTACCCACCGCCAGCCTTCAAGACAGGGTTGGTGATGGAGCAAAAATCACGGAGTCTGTTCAGGCTACTTTGCTTACCTGTTGCTTTCAGAAATTGTGCAAAATATAAACACAGGGAATTTACAACAGTGTGGCTCTGCCCTCAGGAAGAGCTGCTAGGCGAGGCTGAGTCGCTTCTGTGGAGCTGCTTTGGTTCAGTGAAACGTGTGCAGTGATGCTGCTGCTGATGCACCGGGGGTGTGCAGTTACTGGGGGTGGGCGCGGGGGGGGGGGGGCTTGCAGGCAGCTGCCTTTATTTGTGTATTTATTCAAACAGGAATAGCCTACCCTATTGGCATATGTTCCAGGGGGATATCAATAACTCTCAAGGGTGTGGTCCTGCCCTGGTGTGTCTGGCCACTGATTGGTGGAAGTTGTAGGGCTTTTTGGGGGGCGGGGTAGGGTCTAAACATGGTCAAGAGGGCACCCTACAACACTAAGTATAATAAATCAATTGGAGTGTTTTATTCAAACACCCTCTTCTCTCTGTGTTTATTGACAAGTCACTGTTGTTTTTACAGGGGTGGGGAGGCTGTGACCCTCCAGACATTTTTGGACTACAACTCATTCCATTGGTGATCTTGGTACATTCTTACCTTGGTGTCTGAGACTGATGGGAGTTGTAGTCCAACAGTACCTGGTAGGCTACAGGTTCCCTGCCACCCTCCAATCTGTTTATGGCTTTCCCATGTGTAACTCTCAAGGTGTATTCTCAGCACTCACACTGTCCTTAAAAAAAATAAGAAGAAGCAAATGCCCTGGGCCCATCTGTACGATCCAGCATTCAATAGGAGACTCTCAGCAGTGTTCTGGGTGACTGGAAAATGTTTATTTTGAAGGTCAGGCATGCAAAGTTCTTTCCCGGCCCCCCACGAAATCCCTGTCACGTGTTCTGTACCCCAGGAAGAGCGCAGGCCGCTTCCCGTGTAAAAACCAGCGTGTGCATGTTTTCTGCTGACAGATGCTGGATGAGACTCACCTGCCTCCACTCAGTCGCGGGGGGGTCGAGCCCGCGATGTATTGCAATCTAGAGGAGACGAACGCGTCACCCGCGATGCCTCCCAGCCCTCGCAGTCCCCCGCTGCAGGTGCTGGAGACCTGGGAGCGCCACATAGACTCGGTCTCGCAGCGCAGCTTCTTCTACAAGCCGGCGACCGGCGAGAAGTCCTGGAAGCCGCCTCGGAGGCTCCCGGAGATGGTGAGGCTGGCGCTGCTTTGGGGCGGCCACGCGAAGCAGGGTGTGCCGCTCGGGGCCTCGAGCGCTCGCCTGGCGCCGCAGCCGGGCCGACGAGCCGCTCGCTGCCGGCTGTCTCGGCGGGCTCGCCAGGAGAACCTCGATGGGTGAGGAGGCCGATGACGAGCGATAAACGCCACCGTGTGGATCGATCCTGTTCGGGTGCCTGCCAGCCAGCGCTGGCCTTTCCGGGGATCTATGATCGCCTCTTCTGTTCTCCTGCCGCGCCTCACCTGCTTTCCGCTTCCCCGCAGCACCCAGCTTTCCGTGGCCACCGAGCGTGGCCCGTGCGCACTGCGCTGCGTCTCAGCTATTACAGCATCTCTATGCTTCGACAAACTTTGCGGGTTACTTTGATCGTGCAGATGGCACCGTTTTGCGTCATTTTGTACTCAGAGGATGCGATCTCTGTTGCCCTATAGGTTAGAAAGGTAGATCAGGTCTGTCTCTTTCCTAGAGAATCGGCACATTTGCTCACGTGATGGGCTATGTTGTTGTGCCTGATGCAGGAGCATCAGGCACATGGCATGGGTAAGTTACTGAATATGGCTGATGCATCCTTAATAGTGTGATGCCAGAGTGGTGTAGTGGTTAAGAGCACAGGCTGGGGACTCAGGTGATCTGGGTTCTAGTTCCTGCTCAGTCACAGAGCCAGCTGAATGACCCTGGGTCTGTCACAGGCTCTCAGCCTGGCCTACCTCACAGGGTTGTTGTTGTGGGAATAGGATTGAGATCAGGAGAATGATAAAGTTACTGTTATTATGATATTGCAGGGGTGGCCAAACCGAGGCTCAGGAGCCACATGTGACTCTTTGACTTTATTTTGTGGGTTGCTGCTGCAGGCATCCATGGGTGCCCACTTGATTCTCACCACTCCCCCCCCCACCTGCTTGCTATGCACCACCTGCTCCTGCCATCTGCGGGTGCCTGCTTGCAGCTCTCAGATGTCTGACATTTACCATATGTGGCTCTTCCACCAAGCAAGTCTGGCCATCCCTGTTATATTGCATTTATATCCCACCTTTTTCCTTTTTTGAGGAACCCAGGATGGCTTATATTGCTCCTTCTAATCCTCCCAATAACAACCCTGTGCAGTAGGTTTGGCTGAGAGTGTGTGACTGGCCCAAAATCACCCAGTGACTTTCATGGCCAAGCAGCGTCTAGAACCTGTATCTCTTGAGTCCCAGTCCCATGCTCTAACTACCACACCACATCACACCGGCTCTTCTTTCTGCAAAAATAATGTTTAATGTAATGAAAATTAGAATGTAAAATGTGGTGAGGGAAGTGGCCACATTTAAATCATGTGGGACTTCCTGTAGGGAAGACCGTGGAAACCACAGGTGCAAAACCCCAGACCTGGTAGCTAAGGCCAATCTGGGCTTCGGAGTTTCCCCAGTAGCCACCCCCCTTTTGTTTGCTGGCCACACCCCAATCATTTGATGGCTTCCTGGCTTCTGTGCAGCATTCCTCCTGATCTAACCATTCGAAGTGCCTCTCCTAAGGCTTAATGACTGGCAGTGCTGAGCTGTAAGGCAAACTATGCTGGCATTTTTGCCCCACCCCTTTTGCCATCCGCCCACCGCCGGAACGGGAGCTTCTCTGGAATGCAATGTGGCCCTCAGCCTCTTCAGAAATAAATCCTTTCTGTTCAATGTTTATTTGCTTGCTATTCCTGCAAGCAGATGCAACTTTCAGGATGTGGAGTCACAGCAGTGCTTCCTTGCCACTTTTTAAAACATTTGTTTAAACTTTTTAAAAAACAAACAAACTTCTTTTTGCAGCAGGGCAGCTGTCAGCAGCAGCTTTACCAGCAACAGGCATGGGCTGCAGTGCAGGCACAGCATCCTGGGGTGCTGTTTGTTGGGAACGGGATGCTGGTGTGCAGCCAGGCCCGGAATCCTGCTCCGCGGGGCAGGGCCAGCCACGTGTTGTGTTGTGCGCAGCCGCACAGCCTCTGTTCTTGGCCCCTCACAGATGGCCGGAGTGGGCTGCTTCTGGCATGCATGGGGGTTGACGGAGATCTTGTGCAATGTAGTGGCTGGAGTGCTAGACTTGGGTCACGGAGACCTGGCCAGATCTTAAGCATGGAGCTCATGAAAGCTGCAGTTTTAGAACTGCAGACTGGGAGCTGAGCTTGACTGAACTCAGTGGGACTTACTTCCCAGGAGGTATGTCTAGGATGGCACTGCAAGTGACCTTGGCCAGTCACACTCCCCAGGCCTGACCTACAATGCAGGGCTGTTGTGAGAAAGGAGAGAACAGTCATGCAACTCACATTTAGTGCATGCTGGCAGGTGCACAGGTCAGCAACATGTCTGTGGCTGTGTGTGAATGCAACCATGCCCACTGGAAGGTTGTGCTTAAAGGTGCTTGGAGAAGGGCCTGCACCCCCCTTTTTCTGAGGGTGCAAGGCAGCCCTGGAGCAGGGGTTCACTTTTTGGGGATCCCCACCTTCCAGATCCAGCACTGCCACTGGGCCTCCTTGCTGACACCTGCTGCCCCCTCCCTTGCCAGAGGCTGCTCCCAAAGCCCATCGCTGGCTGGCACCTGAATGGTCGGGCAGTCTGCCAGGTGCAGGGGAAATTCTCCAATAATTGCTTTAACAAAGTCTGTGCCCCGGCACAGCGGAAGGAGGGAGGGCGCCAGCTGATCTCCGAGCCCATTCTTCCCCTTTCCCCACTCTCCACAGCCACGTGCCCCCTGTGCCAGAAACTCTCGTTCGCAAGCAGCGTCTGCGGTGGGGGTCGAGGCGCGGGAAAGCTGTGGGCCGCCGGGCCGCTGGCGGGGAAGAACTAGCAGGGGGGCTGTGGATGAAGACTGGGAGGTGGGGGTTGGAAGGGCGGCCTTACCCCTGCCTGCCCGTCTGCGCGCCCGCCCGCCCGCCTCTTGTCCTGCTCTCTGGAGAGCAGCGCCTTTTCGCTCCCTGGCCTTCCTCCCCACCCCCATTTCTGTGCATCTGTTTCTCCAGAGCCTGGTGCAATCGGACGGCTGCAGCCCCTCCACCCCCGCCGAGCCTGCTCCGGGGGAGCCCTCGGACAAAGCGGAAGAAGAGCGAGCGAGGAGCGAGCAGCCCGGCTGCCCCGGTCTCCGGACCAGGGAGAGGAAGCTGGGCTACGCCAAATCCATGGTGCTGCCGGAGACCCGGGTGCGTCCCGAGCGCGGGGGAAGCCGCGGGTCCGGCGGGGGAAGGCGGGCGCGGGACGGAGGGACGCGAGGGCAGGTCGTGGCGGCGTGCGCGGAGCAGGGGGGGGCACGCCGTGGGGCTCGCCCCGGGGGGAGGGGGGGAGGGGGCGGGCGGTGCGCAGCGGTTGCGAGATTGCCCTTCGCTCTTGCCCTTCCAGGGAGGCCATTGCAGGACCCTGTCTCAGCCCAGCTGTGCAGCCTGGCTGGGGGAGCTCTCGGCCTCAGCACCTGCCCATGACTCCCCTCCACGTGGCCCTGACCTGCGGCAGGTAAGCAGGGCGAGGCTCACCGGGAGACGTGACTGCCCAGGCAGAGGGCGCCGAGGAAGGGAAAGAAATGCAGGGCGAAGGAAGGTGTGGAGGCCAGGAGGCTAAGCGGGAACAACACTCCAGCCTTGGGAGAGACGGGGGATGGTGAGGCATCCATGGGTGCCCGAAAGCCCCGAGGAAGGAGCGGCACTTGTGCCCCTCCTTTGAGGGTGCTCCTGGTTCATTCCTGGTTTCTGCCGCTTCCCAGTATGTATGGTGCATCCTCTCCTCCTTCCCCGTCTCCTCTGGGGCTGATACCCCTTCCTCTCTCCCCAAGCTGTCCCCAACTGCTTGTCCCAGACAGGCCGGGGACGATGGGAGTGGCATTCAAACACATCCAGGGGGTACCCGGGTGGAGAAGGCCACTCTCAGCATCCTTTTTGCAGTGGGTGAATCTCTGGTAGCAATGGGCAGTGCCTTTGGCGATCCAGAGTTTGTGGCCAATAAAAAGTCTGTAGAGAGCAAGGGCATTTCAGGACAGAGCAGAGGACTTGACCAGGGCTGTGTGCTGATGCTGTCATTTGCCTGCAGATGGTGGAGAGGTCTGGACAGCTGAACAAAACCAAGATTGCAGAAGGAGGTCGGAAACTCAGGTAGCCCAGCTGGAGACCCAGTGGTGGGCCGGTGCTGGCGGAGGCTGTCTGGCTGTCTGTCCCTAGCTGCCAGAGCCCTTCTGCTAACCTGGCTGGCTCCTCAGCTTTGGCCACACAGCATTTCACAGCTGAAGGGATTTTGACAAGCAATGTTCTGGCCATGAATGGACAAAGGAGACAGGAGGTCCCCTTAGTGGATAATGGGGCTTTTTCAGCTACCATCACCATTGGGAGCAGGCCAGAGAAAGTCGGGATGAGTCCAGGCTCTCTCCACAAGAGAGACAGTCTTGGTAGAAGAGTGGAAGCAAGCTCAGGACAGAGTTTAGGAGCTACTAAATAAGCCTGGGCTATCCTACCATGCATAGACTCTCACAATGATGATGACTGTATGGGTGGCTATGATTGGTCCAATATCAGAGTCTGATGATGTGATTGGTCCAACATGACCACCTCAGTGTCTCCAAACATCAGATTTTAATGTGAGTAGGGTGGATCTAGGACAGGAATGAGTGATCAGGTGCCCCCAGAATGTTTTGGCTTGCAAGTCTCATAAGCCCTCACCAGCAAAGCCAATGGTCAGAGATTCTGGAAATTGTAGTCCAAAGCATTGGGGAGGTCGCTCTCTGTCCACCAGTTTTAGTCTTTGGGTTGACAAGTGGTTTATAGAAGGTAGGAAGAAGGGTTACTGGCTTTCACCTGGTCCCTCACCCCAGGTTGTTTGATTGCCATCAGCCTTTCATTTTAGATCCAGCTGAGAGGTACAACCTGAACGGATAAAATTGGTTCTAGGGATGGTTGCATCCAAGCAAGCAAGATGACAGCCTGCATGTGCAATTTGCAGAGGCAGGAAATGCACCCATTCACCACAGGTGCCATTCTCACAGGGACTACTCAGAGTTGGCTTCCCTAGCATTTGTCACAGGAAGAGTGAGGTACGAGGTCATTGTTACCACTGCAGCATTCCTTTCAGCAAATGAACACTGTGCTTGCAGTGGGGGAGCATTTATTCTAACACCTGTGTGTGCATGGAGTGGGTGTGTTGGCAATGTTACTCTTCTCAGCTTCTCACACGGTTTCTCTCACTGTTCCCACTCCCCCAGAAAGTGCTGGGCGCCATCATGGCTGGTGTTAGCTGGGAACAGCCTCATGTTTTACAAGGAACCAAAGGTGGCAACTGCATGGGTGAGTAGCATGGGCAGAGGATGGTCAGGAGCGAGCAGACCATATCCATTCCTCTGCCTAGCTTGCAAAACCTTTATGCTCAGTCCTTCATCGTAGGGATTTGTCTTCCTTTGGCAGCTTGCTCTCTGGAAATAGGGAAAGAGAGAAGGGATGGACAAAGGAGAAAAGTGTGCCTATGTGTGTGTGTGGGAGAGATTCCATATGCATCCCTGTCCAAATTGCCCTACTTTGCTCTACCTAAATCTCTGCTTTTGAAGAAAGTCCTATTTTTGACAGCTATCGAAGGCAAAGTGAAAGGAGCATGTGTGCTATTTTTCCATCCTGAGCATTTAGTCTTATCAGTAGTTGGCTAAATGGATCCCCAAGGATCTATTTGGCAGAAGAGTAACTCCCACCCACTTTCACTACTAAGATCACTTGATCACTTGTAGCTTTGCTCTCTCTTGATAGCTTACCTTTTGACAGCTGTCAGTGTAAAGCAACAGAAACAGTAAGCCTATTGGGAGCCTCTCTGTGTCAGTTCCCAGGGTTGATAGCTGCTGTACTGTGATAGCTGCTACCTCCACCCCTCCAGATCCACAGAAGTGTGTGCCTCTGCATTTGCATAAGTCCAGCTAGGAAGAAAAAATGAAAAAAAATTACACACACGGTTTTTTTTCTTTAACAATGGAATGGCCAACCAGTGACATCCCTCTACAGAGGGATTGTCACAGGCTCTCACTTAGGATGTAATTGTTATTATTTATTTAGCATACGGTGATAGAACAATTAGCCATGAGTCTACAGTGCTAATGCAGAGTAGATATCTGGCTGCCTGCAATTGCTAGTTCATGAAAAAAGAAGAAAAAATGAAAAATGAGAAGAAAGCCATGGTGAGCCTGAAATAGCTCACAGTCATGGCTAGGAGAGTGACAAGGTGGCTTTGACCATGTTGTCCCCTGGGATATAGGCTGGGAGACTGAGTGGGAGAAGGGGAAGAAAAAGCCCATGGCAAACCCAATCATCTGTGCATACACCAAGGATTGTTTGTATAGCAACCACCTCTCTGTGGCTTATTGCCAGGGTGGATTAGCGTGACACGCAAACCCACCCACAGTATACAGTGAAGTCTGGGGAACTTCCTAATTCCTTTCTTCCTGCAGACTCCGTTCGGTACCCGACCAGAAAGCAGTGTGGATTTGCGTGGGGCCCGCATTGAATGGGCCAGGGACCTGTCCAGCAAACGGAACGTCATCCACGTGAGTGTGGCAGTGCCCAGTGAATGGATTCCCGCCTGGCACACGGGGCTGCAAGCAGAGCCCTGTGTGCCCCACCATGAGTTGGTTGCTGTTCCTTTAATGGTTGTGTTTTGGGCTTAGGATGGGGAAGGACCTAAGTTAGCAGTCATTGCATGTATTGTGAGTGGGAAGAGGAGATAGAAGCTTCATAACAGTTGGACTGAATCTCATGGAATGTGAACACTGAGAATCATTCCTTCCTTGCCCTGGAGTCGAGTCAAGTGCAGGCACAGTCTTGGGGTGTAATGATCTTGGGAGCAAATGTCAACATGATCTTTGTCCTGTGACTACCCAGACACTTTTCCCTTGAATTATGAGACATTGCCCAAGTTTTCACATAAGCCCAGAATCCTGGTTTAATAAATGCAGCATGAACCAGCAGCAGACTGATTCCCACTTTGTTCCTCCATTTCCACAAATAAGCCAACAAACCACAAAGAGATTGCTTTGCATTGTGCCTGTATAGAGGGTTACAGCTAATTGTGCTTAAAGAAGCTAGGATCATAAGCCATCTTCAAATCAGGGTTGGTACCTGGCTTCCATATCATGGCTTGTTTAGGTACACCCAACCATCATCTCAGCTTAGTATGAAACACAAAGCTATTTCTTCCTGCTTGCTTACTCACCTGCAGGAGAGAAGGAAGGAAGTGGTTGCAAATGCGTTGTGTGGAGCAGCACAATGCTTACTCCCTTTGTAGTTTATTAAGCCCAGATTCTTGGTTTAGTTGTATGTGTGACAACAGCCAGTTTCTAATAGAAAAACAGGATGCGATGTTCCCTAGGCTGACCAATCTGGTCTCTTCCCGTTGTGCCTCTTCTTCTTAGTTCCGTACCGTGACTGGCAATGAGTATCTCTTGCAATCAGACAGCGAGACTGTGAGCCAGGACTGGTACCAGGCTATCAAAGGGGTCATCCGCAGGCTGGTGAGTAAGGGGCACTGTGCAGGCAGAAACCCCCATTTTTTCCTCTTGCTTGAAGTATTGCTGATGAGCAGAACCTTTCTGATGCTCATCAGGTGGTGCTCACAGGGCACTCAAGGAGGTCTGAAGGGGGCTGCCCAACAGGGGTCACCAGGGGGCAGGCAAAATAGAACATCCCCCCAGTTTATTTCAACAGGGGGTCCTTCCTGGCAGCACCTAAGCCGTGGCAGTCCTTTCTTATGCTTGTGGTGATGGGGAGAACATGCACAGGCTGAGAAACCACTGCGGGAGAAGGGAAGGGGCCAGGAAAGGGGGAATGGATTGGGTTTTGGCCCCCAGCCCTGAGGTGCTGCACTTCTGCCCCAAATGGCCAGGCCTCTGGCCTGCAGCCTGGCACTCCTCCTCCTCTCCAGGAACTCATGCTGCTCATGGTACCACCTCCGTGGAACCGTTGGAGCTGAGTGTGCTGCTGCTGTGAAGCTGAGGGACTGCTCCTCTCCCAGGCTGCAGCTGCTTGGACTTGGGGAATCTCAAGCAACCTTCGGGGTTGAGAGTCTTTGAATCCACAGTGATACCTGACTCCAGTGTGTCCTCTGTCCCCAAGCTTCCGAGTCCATGCCCGGGTGGCTGCTGGGCTCCAGTGTCACAGGTGGAATTAAAAGTCGATGCTGGGGGCCATTTTGCATGGCTGACCACAGAGAGGGGCAGCAGGACGCTTGTCAGTCAGGGCTCTGTCCCTCCAGTGAATCACTGGCCAGCCTAGCCCATCCCAGCCTGGAGGGCTGCACTGAATCAGTCTGCAGAATACAAAATGGGAAGGAAACTCACCTGCCTGTTCTGGATCATCTCTTCCCTTCTGGCTTACTCTGCTTCCCTTCCACACTGCAGGATGAAGAGAACCCTCTGGACGAGCCGCTGCTGTATCCGCTGTACCGCTCCAACAGCGCTGACCTTGTGGATCTCAGTGCTGATGAGGAAGATGATCTGGGACTCCCAAAGGGTGAGACACAGGCAGGCAGGACTGGGTGGATCCGAGATGGAGCAGATACAAAGCTGCCTAAATTTAGCAAGGCTGGATTGGCACAAGGGGTTTGCCTCATCTTCTCCCCTTCTCTCCCTAGCACCGGCAAGTCCTGACCGAGCCTACAAGAAACGGGTCAAGAGCAAGTTGAGGCGGTTCATTGCCAAACGACCACCCCTGCAGAGTTTACAGGAGAAAGGACTGATTCGAGGTGACTACCCGAGCTCCTGTAGCAAGATAGTGGGCACTGTCAGCAGCAGCAGCAGCAGCAGCAGCCCCCCCTCCTCCTCCTCCTCCTCCTCCTCCTCAATAATTTATTTCATTTCTTTACCACCCCAGAGCTGAAGCTTTTTGCTAGGTTGGCAACAATCTGATGCATGCTTATTTTGGTGCCTGGCTGTGCTGTCTGGATGATCTTTGGCATGCCTGGAATGGAACCTTGGAGAAGGCAAAGGGAGCTCCCAGGCCAGGACTGCTGCAATGAATGGATGCACATTTTGGTGTGACTGTTGTTAACATGAGTGCGTAGTGCCTGGGACTAGTTACACTCTGCACCTCAGTGTCAGAGCTATCTTAGAACTAATTTTAAAGTGTATATGTCTGTACATGGCAGCAAGTGAGATAACAGAAATATAGCCTTAACATAAATCAGAATAACTCAGCCCAGAGGACAGCTACCAAACGATGGAATATTCCAAAGTGTGGCATTTGGGGTTATGTGCCAATTTCCTCCTGGCTGAGGAGGTATTCCAGCATCAAGCTGATCTACCCAGTTGCTCTTGTAACCACTGTTTTTGGGTCAGATGGCAACTCTTTTGCAACAAGTGATCAATCTGAGAGGCTGGAATTATCTAAAACGCAGGCTTTGCAATTGCTTACTTCAGTTTGCTTTGGGCAAGACTGTGGATTTATGGTTTCTGAAACGTGTGTAAGTTGTTTTAGCTACTTACCGCAAATAGCATTCTGTCTGTTTACAGTTTCTGTGTGTGCATGTCTGTGTGAGGGAGAATGAGAAAGTGATTATGAGCACATAGTCACACATGTGGACCTTATAAAATGCACAGTTTACAACCTTTACGACTAAATTAACTAGATCAGAAGCGAATGTGTTCTGCGCCCTCTTCATCTACTTGCACAAAGAGGCAATGCAGAAAGGACACCAATGTGTGGTGTTTCTGGCCTTGCCTCTCACAACACATAGCTCTCCCCACCATCCATGTGTTATTATGAACCTCTGAGATGGGCCATCCATCCATCCATCCATCCAATTACATTAGTATACAACCTGAAGCTCTCTGAGTGGTTTACAAGACAATCCATAAAATATAGTCGTAAAACATACGACAAAGCTCTAAGTTTAGAACAGAATAATACCAAAGTGACAAGATGAAATAAAAGCCAGAAGCATCACAAAGACCTGAAAGCTCTCAAACACAATTTTAAAAAGAGCTAAAAAGCACAGGAAAACAAAAAAACTCATCTGGCGCTAAGAAGGCTTCTATATAAGCTCCAAGACAGTCTTTCTGGAAAGGATAGTCTGTATCTGAGGTGACATCACTGAAAAGGCCGTCTCCTTAGTTGTCAACCACTTCACCTCATTTGATGAGGTCTCCCAGAGGAAGGCTACTGAAGATGAGCAGGTATATTTAGGAAGACGCAGTTCCTCAGGTGACCTACCCCAAGTCTTTTTGCCTGTGCGCGTAAACCTCTCTGTGCACAGGGCTTCCTTGGATCCTTGATCGGTGGTGGCAGAGGGAGGGGGACATGGGACGTGGTCGGGAGTGGCTCCACATGCATGGTTCCAGGGCCAGTACCCTTCCCAGCTGCATTGCTCCTTCACAGAACAGAAAATAGAACTGCCAAGATCGTACGTCCCTTATAGAAATCTCCGGTGCAACCGCACTTGGAATATTGTGTTCCAGTCCCCTTACCTGAAAAAGGACACAACTGAGTTTGAAAAGGCTCGGAGAAGGGCAACAAAAATGATCAGGGGAATGGAGCTGTTCCCCATGTGGAGTGCCTATAGCAACTGGGGCAGCATAAAAAAAGACAAGGAAGAGGAGACATGATGAAAGTGTTTAAAATAATGCCCAGTGTGGAGAAAGTAGAGAGGAAGACATTTTTCTCCCTCTCCCATAACACTCAAACCCAGGGCCATCCCTTGAAGCTGATTGGTGGGTTTGTTGTTAGTCGCGAAGTCGTGTCCGACCCATCGCGACCCCATGGACAACATTCCTCCAGGCCTTCCTGTCCTCCACCATCTCCCAGAGTCCACTTAAGCTCACGCCAACTGCTTCAGTGACTCCGTCTAGCCACCTCATCCTCTGCCATCCCCTTCTTCTTTTGCCATCTATTGTTCCCAGCAATAGGCTCTTCTCCAGGGAGTCCTTCCTTCTCATTAGGTGGCCAAAGTATTTGAGTTTCATCTTCAGGATCTGGCCTTCTAAAGAGCAGTCAGGGTCAATCTCCTCTAGGACTGACCGGTTTGATCGCCTTGCGGTCCAAGGGACTCGCAGGAGTCTCCTCCAGCACCACAATTCAAAGGCCTCAATCCTTTGGCGCTCAGCCTTCCTTATGGTTTAGCTTTCACAGACATACATTGCAACTGGGACAACCATAGCCTTGACTATACACACTTTGGTTGGCAGGGTGATGTCTCTGCTTTTTAGTATGCTGTCTAGATTTGCCATAGCTTTCCTCCCCAGGAGCAAACGTCTTTTAATTTCTTGGCTGCAGTCCCTGTCTGCAGTGATCTTGGAGCCCAGGAAAATAAAATCTGTCACTACCTCCATTTCTTCCCCATCTATTTTCCAGGAAGTGATAGGACCAGATGCCATGGTCTTAGTTTTCTTAATGTTGAGTTTCAAGCCAACTTTTGCACTCTCTTCATTCACCTGCATCAAGAGGCTCTTTAGTTCCTCTTCACTTTCTGCCATGAGAGTGGTATCATCTGCATATCTGAGGTTGTTGATATTTCTCCCAGCAATCTTAATTCCAACTGGTGATTCATCTAGCCCCGCCTTTCTCATGATGTGCTCTGCATATAAGTTACATAGGCAGGGCAACAGTATACAGCCTTGCCGAACTCCTTTCTCATTTTTGAACCAATCAGTGGTTCCGTGTCCAGTTCTCACTGTTGCTTCTTCACCCACATATAGGTTTCTGCAGAGACAAATAAGATGGTCTGGTACTCCCATCTCTTTAAGGACTTGCCACAATTTGTTGTGATCCACACAATCAAAGGCTTTAGCATAGTCAATGAAGCAGAAGGAGATGTTTTTCCGGAACTCCCTAGCTTTCTCCATGGTCCAGTGTATGTTGGCAATTTGATCTCTAGTTCCTCTTCGAAATCCTGCCTGTACTTCTGGTAGTTCTTGGTCCACATACTGCTGGAGCCTAGCTTGTAGGATTTTGAGCATCACTTTGCTAGCATGTGAAATGAGTGCAATAGTGCGGCAGTTTGAACATTCTTTGCCATTACCCATCTTTGGGATGGGTATGTAAACTGACCTTTTCCTATCCTGTGGCCACTGTTGCGTTTTCCAAGTTTGCTGACATATTGAGTGTAGCACTTTTACTGCATCGTCTTTTAGGATTTTAAATAGCTCAGCTGGAATACTGTCACCTCCACTAGCTTTGTTGTTGCTCAGACTTCCTAAGGCCCATTTGACTTCACATTCCAGGATGTCTGGCTCGAGGTCAGTGACCACCCCATCGTGCGTATCAGGGACATTACACAGAAGAACTATACAAGAAAGAGCTTAATGCCATCTCTTCTTAATCTCTTCTGCCTCTGTTAGGTCCTTGCCATTTTGGTCCTTTATCATGCCCATCGTTGCATGAAATTTTCCTCTCATATCTCCAATTTTCTTGAAGAGATCTCTGTTCCTCCCTATTCTATTGTTTTCTTCTATTTCTTTGCACTGTTCATTGAAGAAGGCATTCGTATCTCTTCTAGCTCTTCTCTGGAATTCTGCATTCAATTGGGTGTATCTTTCTCTTTCTCCCTTGCCTTTTGCTTCCCTTCTTTCCTCAGCTATTTGTAAAGCTTCCTCAGACAGCCATTTTGCTTTCTTGCATTTCTTTTCTTTGGGATAGTTTTAGTTGCTACCTCTTGTACAATGTTGTGAACCTCTGTCCATAGTTCTTCAGGCACTCTGTCTATCAGATCTAATTCCTTAAATTTATTTGTCACCTCTACTGTATATTCATCAGGGATATGATTTAGGTCATACCTGAGTGGCCTAGTGCTTTTGCCTACTTTCTTCAATTTAAGCCTAAATTTCGCCACAAGAAGCTCATGATCTGAGCCACAGTCAGCTCCTGGTCTAGTTTTTACTGACTGTATAGAGCTTCTCCATCTTTGGCTGCACAGCACATAGACAATCTGATTTCTTTGTTGACCGTCTGGTGATGTCCATGTGTAGAGTCGTCTTTTGGGTTGTTGGAAAAGAGTGTTTGCTATGACCATCGTATTCTCTTGACAAAATTCTACCAGCCTGTGCCCTGCTTCATTTTGCACTCCAAGGCCAAACTTGCTTGTTATTCCAGTTATCTTTTGGCTTCCTACGTTAGCATTCCAATCCCCCATGATGATAAGGACATCATTTTTGGTGTTAATTCTAGAAGGTGTTGTAGGCCTTCATAGAACCGGTCAACTTCAGCCTCTTCAGCACCAGTGGTTGGGGCATAGACTTGGACTATTGTGATGTTGAATGGTTTTCCTTGGATTCGAACTGAGATCATTCTGTCATTTTGGAGATTGTATCCCAGTACTGCTTTTCCTGCTCCTTTATTGACTATGAAGGCTACTCCATTTCTTCTGAGAGATTCTTGCCTGCAGTAGTATACCTGATGGCCATCTGAATTAAATTCACCCATTCCTGTCCGTTTTAGTTCACTGATTCCTAAGATGTCGATGTTCAGTCTTGTCATCTCATTTGACCACATCCAGCTTGCCTTGATTCATGGATCTTACATTCCAGGTTCCTATGGAGTATAGATCTTTGCAGCATCAGACTCTCCTTTCACTACCAGATACATCTGCAACTGAGTGTCCTTTCTGCTTTGACCCGGTCGCTTCATTCTTTCTGGCACTACTAGTACTAGCCCTCTGCTCTTCCCCAGTAGCATATTGGACACCTTCCGACCTGAGGGGCTCATCTGCCAGCGTCATATCTTTTTGCCTTTTGGTACTGTCCATGGGGTTTTCATGGCAAAGATACTGGAGTGGGTGGCCATTTCCTTCTCCAGTGTACTGGCACAGGGCTTCTAGTCGGCAGCCAAAGATCCGGCAGCTTCCCATGGAACTGGAGCATTCTGCCCTGCTAAGCCTTCATTGAGCTATGCAAGCCCCTTTGCCATGACAGGGCAGTGATCCATGAAGGAGTGGTGGGAGGAGAGATAAAAGGAAGTACTTCTTCATGCAGTGTATAGTTATGCTATGGAATTCACTGCCACAGGAAGTGGTGATGGCCACCATCTGGATAGCTTTAAAAAGGGATTGGGAAGATTCACGAGGGAGGAGTCTATCAATGGTTATTAGCCTTGCTGGCTGTGTGCTGCCTCCTTTACCCGAGGTGGCCTGCCTGCATACTCTGGTTGCTGAGGAGCTTGGGCAGGAGGAGGCCTTGCACCCATCCTGCTTGAGGGATCCTGTGGGCAGCTGGTTGACCACTGTGTGTACGGGATGCTGGATTAGGGGGACCCTCGGTCTGATCCAGCAGGGCTTTTCTTATGTTCTTCTGCTTCCCATGGAAGTGGAGTATCCTGCCCTGCTAAGCCTGCTTCTCTTTTATCCCCAGACCAGGTCTTTGGCTGCCGACTGGAAGCCCTGTGCCAGCGTGAAGGCAGCACCGTACCCCGCTTTGTCCGGCAGTGCGTGGAAGCGGTGGAGCAGAAAGGTCAGTGTGCGCGGAGGGGCTCCCAGGCAGCGCTACCAAAGCCCTACCTCGGGCTGGGGAGAGAGCTGTGCATCTGTGCCCCCTTTTCCACTCCTTTGGGTTAATGGCATTCACAGTTGGGTCCGTCTCTTCCCCTGCAGGGCTGGATGCGGATGGAATCTACAGGGTCAGTGGGAACTTGGCCATCATTCAGAAGCTGAGGTTCATAGTTGATCGCGGTGAGTGCCTGCACTGATGTGGAGACAAGGCATGGCGAGGGAGGGGATGCTGAAGGGAGAAAGCTGGCCTGAACTGTCCTGCCCAGCCCCGCTCTCCCTGCCCCAAGGTGAGGCCTGAAAAACCAGGCCTGCCATTCTTTTTGGCGTGATCTCATTTGCCCTGGGGAAGAGCCCCAGGAGGGGGAAACTGGCCTGCTGGCCAACATCTCTGACACTATTGCTTCCCTATCGCCATAGCTATTTCCCAAACTGTTTTTATTAAAACAGAAGAAAGGGTAGAGCGAAAAATGAACAAAAGCATGCAGACGATGATTTCATGCATGTCCACACACACACACGTTCTTGTATATGAGAGCTAGTGTGGTGTAGCAGTTAAACTAGGACTTGGGAGATCGGGGTTCCTGTCCTGTCTTGGCTATGAAGCCCACTGAGTGATTTTGGGCCACTCAATGACTCAACTTAACACACCTTGTGAAGTAGTTATGAGAATAAATAGAAAGGAGGCCCCTTGCAAGAAGGAAAAAAGGCAAGATATAATTCATAACAAAAAAAGAAGAAGATGAAATCAAAGTGCTAATTGTGGGCCTGACACATGAGGTGAGGGGCAAGTTGAATGGCTGGTATCTATAATGTGCAAGAGAAGTTGGAAAACTGCAGTGACACTGTGAGTGTCGCTTGGCCTATTCTTAAGTGTCTTGTTTCTTTGCCGCAAGGGCCCATTCTTGGTCTGGTGTCCTCAACAGCTATTATGTTGCTTTGCAGAGCGGGCAGTGACATCAGACGGGCGTTATGTCTTCCCGGAGCAACGCTGCCACGGTAAGTCTGGCTGGCTGCTTTTCTGTGCCTTTGCCTCTCGAAGCTCAAGGGCCTTCTAACTGCACTGATCATGCAAAACAAGAAAGCCAATGGCTGACTTTCCATCAGTGGCAAGAAGCCCAGCAAGGTGTGCAGGGTGCACCTGCTGTGTTTGGAAGAAGAATCAGACTCCTCCAAACCTTACAAAATTCCTTGAAAAGTCACCTGAGATTCCATCACTGCAGAAGCTGTTGAGAAAGCAGCAATACTAGTGGCAGCAAAGGAGGGTGGCAGCGGACCCTGGACCCTGGATGTGGCTCTCCCGCTGCAGTCAGTGCAGCTTGCCTTGGAGTCATGCAGGCCTCTTATTCTTAGCCAGTAAATCGACATGAAAACAAATAGAACACATTTCTTTCCTTGCTGTTCCAGAAACTGAGTATCAAAACCATTGGGTACATGTTTTTAGAATAAGGGTTTAGGTTAAACGTTAGGAAGAATTTCCTGAGGGCACAAGAATTACAACATGTGGGTGGTGGAATGGTTTTGGGCTCAATCTTAAGGTTATGGCTCAGGGGAGGGAGAACTGAGCCTGGAAGTAACTCTGAGTAGGCCGGCAAAGCGACCAAAGGCAAATAACACTGGAGAGCTGCCAGGGTCGTACTCATCGGGGTTACAAAAAACAAGATGAGTGTGCTGGTTTTGAGACTGGGAAGGTGCTATGAGTGGCTGGAAAGGATGGGCAGTGCCGAGAAATGGCCAGAAATCTGACCTTTTGGAAACAGCTGTGATGCATGGGCGGTCGAGCCCTATGTTAGGGTCAGGGTAAACTCCAGGTTAGGGTTAGTGTTTCGAAAACCAAGATGACTGTGGCATTTTTGAGGCTTGGTACATACTCCGAGTGGCTGGAAAGAATTAGCTGTGCCGAGAAAAGGTGGGATTACTGGCATTTTGCATACCCGTGAAGAGCATGGGTAGTTGAGCGATACTGGGTCAGGATTAAAATCCAACTAAGGTCCGGGTTATCAAATCCAAGATGACTGTGGCACTTTTGGGGCTTGGATCATATTAAAAGTGTCCGGAAAGGATGAGCAGTACCAAGAAATGTTGAATAACCTGACCTATTGTTAACCAGGGGGATGCATGGGCAGTTGAGCCCTATTCTAGCTAAGGGTTAAAATCCAGGTTAGGGTTAGGTTTACAAAAACCAGGATGAGTATGACACTTCTGAGACTTGGTACATGCTCAGAGTGGCCAGAAAGTATGAGCTGTGCCAAAAAAAATGTCCAGAAACCAGACCTTTTGGAAACCGTTCTGATGTATGGCCTCAAATTAGCCTAGAGTGGGTAAGGTAAATGGATGATGAGAAATCCCCAGAGTGTTCCTTTTGCATAAAGCGTCTGAATGCAAATTAGATGCATATGAGATGTTGCTGGGGATTACCTGGGGATTTGGTTTTGGGTTCCAGTTAGAGTTAGAGATCGATTTGGGTTTGGGTTGTGGTTAGGGTTCAGCTTAGGAAAGCACAGCTTTCTGTACATGTGCAAGGGCTGAAATCTTGTCTGGAGCAGGCAAACAAAGTGATCAATCAATATGAAACCCTCACTTGCAGCCTTTGCGCATGTACAGGTGCTCTAACTTGGTGTTATGATTGGGGTTGAATTTCAGTTTATGGTTAGATTTGAGGAAAGGTGGGTCTCTTTCATATTGGCTTGATTGGCCAAACAAAGCTAAACAGGAGCTCTCTCATGCTTGCCCTTGCGCATGTCGCTGTGAATGGGTAGCAACACTAGCTGGGTGTTTGCATTGTGGTTCACCTGCAGGCTTAAACTGAGGAACACCTCAGTCTTGGTATGCTGCGGGGGCCGTGGCATAGCCACCTTGGTCTAACAGAGAGAGTGCTCAGGGATAACAAACTGAGTGCTGCCTTTGTGTGTGTTTTAAGAATTCTTAGGGATAGTGCATTGATGTTTTGGTCAGGGCTTAGCTGCAGAATAAGTTCAGGAAAAGGTGCTTGTGCAGGCCCTGGAACTAGCCTCCAGGCTAGTCGTGCTGGACAAGCAAAACGACTGATCAACAAGAATATATCAACTGCTGTATTTCTGCATATTTCCCAAATTTGCCTTGAAGTGGGAAATTGGGCCTGTTGTTGGACTGATTTCCTGTTCCTGATGATCAGAAGTCTTTAGTTCACAGACTTCCATCGCTAAGAGAGACTGTGATTTGTGCACATTTTGTTTAAATACTAATAAAAATCCATGCAAATAGGCATCTGAAATCCGGACGGGATTTGTGTAGATTTTGCTGATTCGTATAAAATCATAATTTGCACAAATTAAGAATTGTACAAGATACTATTTTGGGCAAATTGGCCGATTCTGTGCACATCACACTACAGGCACATGGTTGTCCAGTGTTTTTTTTTTTGTGCAGATTTCATTAGCAGTGAAAGCATTTGCAGGCTGTGGTTTGCCCTAGAGGCAGAAAGCTACAATCTGCCTCAACTTGAACTGCAGCCAGTTATCACCAGCACAAGGTTAACAGTCTGGAATCCGAGGAGCCGAATTCACCAGCCCCATCATCACCAGCCCCATCAGCTTCACTTCCCTCGTCTCCACAGTTCCATGGGTATTTGTGTAGCAACAGCACCTCCCACAGGATTCATAAGGTTTACCAGGTCACGGCTCGGAGAGTCACTCTGTACATTGAAAATTTCCAATTCCAAACTGGAGTGTTTGGTGCTTCCTCCTCCTGGTCCTTTCTGGTTCTGTCGTACTTTCCTGCCTGTTTGAAAACTGAAAAGGATCAGGAATGGAATGGAGTATCCTGGAGAGGTCATGGCTGCATCAGGAAAAGCTGGAAATGAAGTATTCTTCATTACAACTTTTTGTTATCAGTGCTACATTGTCAAGGAATGTGTTCCTTGAGACTCTGAGCTCGAAGGATTCCTGTGTTCTCTCCTGGATCAATGTGCCACACATTGACTCTTCCTGCTATTCCTTAATTCCCAGAGGACAAGCTGCACCTGACTGACCCGCAGTGGGATGATGTGCATGTGATAACAGGGGCCCTCAAGCTCTTCTTCCGGGAGCTGCCTGAACCACTGGTGCCTTACAGCCTTTTTGATGAATTTATAGCTGCTGTCAGTAAGTGCATTTCCTGTTCCCTGCCCTTTAGCTTTGGCATCACTAATGTGGGTGATGCATACCCCAATTTCCTGCCAGAAGTAAAACTCCATGATATTCTCTTCAATGCTAGGCCCACCTCTAGGAAGCATGCCATGTGCAATGAATTTGTTCGCCTAGCTTTCTCCTGCAGAAAAAGAACAACTTTCCAGATGCTCCTTGCACCTTATGCACGGGGTCCAAATATATAGAATAATTGTCTGTTTGATATGGATCATTCGTTGCTTTCTGGGAACACAGTAGTTCCTCAGTTAAGCCACTTGGGCATTGGCAGATCTTGGGTTGCATTCCAGCCTGCCCTCCAGAAGAGGCCTTCCATTTACCCATTCAATAGGCTCTCCTGACTTTCTGACACAATAACCCCACTCAGGTTGAGTATGCATTGAATGTGGGCTGTCAGTGAACTGCAGGTTGTTGCTGAAATGTGAATTACTGTGTTTAAAGGAGGTTGTGCTAATACACCAGGGACCACACAAGGCAATGGGTCTCCCTCCTCCCCTTCTTCGATTCCTCCTGTCCCTTCCAGAACAGGCCTACTCTCCTGGTTGGCCTGGGAACCTGTGGGCAGACAACGTGGGGCCTTCAAATGCCTCCCCCTCTCCCTGAGTCTGCAAGGTCATCTTGCTCAGAATCTGAGCCATGATGACCCTGGGATGCCTGCCAAGAATGGTGCTTGTTTTCACTCACTTCATCCTGAGTTCCACAAGATGAGCTGCAGATGGAAACAAGCACCCTAGTTTTCTGGTGAGAGCTGATGCCATTTCTTTGGAAAGTGCACATGTCCTTATAAGCAGTCCCATAAACTCCTCCTCCACCACAACAAAAGTGTGACCTTTGCTTTTCATTACAGAGTTGCCCGACTTGAAGGAGAAAATATCCAAGCTGGCAGGGTTGATCCAGAGCCTTCCCCAGTCGAATCGGGACACACTGCAATATCTCCTGGAGCATCTCCGAAAGTAAGGAAATTGAGTTCAACTGTCCAAATTGCCTGTGTCCCTGCTTTGCTATCCCGTGCTGAAACATGCAGCTTGTTACTCATACCAGACTTTCTCTGTCAATGGTTCTTATCTGAGGAAGGTTACTTTCATACTAGTCTTTTAGCAGTATTGAGGCATTACTTTTCTGTAGCCAACTAGAAACTGAAATTAAACGGAGGCCCCATGTGGCATATAATGTAGTGCTACATTACTTAGCAACAGCCTTTCCATGGCCAAAAGCTTTCTGGGTTTCTTAAAAATATGTTCTGCTCAGAAAAGGTCCCCAGCAGCATTAATTAGTAGTGTCCTTCTCCTTGCCAGGTCTCTCTATTTTATTGCTTCCTATGCAGCACAGGTGAGTGTATTGCCTCTCAAATGGCCCTTAAAAATCTCATGTTCCCAGTAGAATCATGGCAGCTTTAATTGCTGGTTCTCTTTCATTATTACATTTCCCTTTTCTAGCGAAATAATCTCTGGAAAATCAAATGAAGCAAACCACTAAAAGTTATTTGTTTTTCGGCGCCAGGCGAAGACCTTTTTATTTAAATGTCATTTTAATTGCTAATATTAATTATTTATTTTGCATCTTTGGCCAGGACGTCTCCAATTATATTGTTGTTATATTGTTATTATTTATTTATTGTTGTGAGCCGCTCTGAGGCTTCGGCGAATGGGGCGGCATAGAAGCTATCTAAATAAATAAATAAATAAATAAAGAATGAATGAATGAATGAATGAATGAATGAATGAATGAATGAATGAAAAAGAAAGAATGAAAGGAACCCATTAAAGCTTTCCTCCAGAGTTCTGGGAATAAAAGCTAACTACAAGGGAAATCCTGTAGCTGCATTGAACACAAAAGAATAAAATGAGTAGTACCTCCAACAAGGAAACTTTTAATTAAAGGCAGTGTGGCAGTGTCTAGGAAAAAGATATAATCGGGAAGCACCATAGTAGAATTCCATCTCTTGTGTTTTTGCCCTCAAGTCAACTTTGTGAGTATATATTTGTTTAGAAAATCTGAACATGGCAGTATTGGACGTGAGAATTGCATGACACTTTTGAGGCAAGATAAACATATGCAATCAAGTGGCTGAGATCAGAATACCGAAATACGTCTTTTCTAAGTTTTGGAATACGATATGTTGAGCTTCAGATTTTTAAAAATCTCTTTAGTGTGATCTGTGAAGAGGGCAAAAATGTGTAAAATGCTTTCCCATTATCTGGGTATTTACAAAAAGGCCACAGCAGAACTAGGGAAAACATGGTCCACATCAATGAATGTGACTTCTGGCATTTCTTCTTTTAAAAATCAGGCCTTGACTGTTTTCCCATTCTGGGGAGAGATGTGCATTGCGGTGGTTCTCCTTATCCCTTCTCTGTCTCCCTTCAGGGTGATGGAGCTCTCAGACGTCAACCGGATGACAACACAGAATATTGGCATCGTCTTTGGACCAACTTTGCTGCGCCATGAATGTGACGCGACCAGCCTGGTAGAGGGCATGGTGTACCAGAACCAGGTGGTAGAGCTGCTCCTCACTGAATTTATGAGCATCTTTGGCACCCTGGAGACTGAATGACTTTGCCTTTCTCGGCAGTTGGTGGTTTTATCCTGAAGGCACGTCAGATCACAGGTAGCAAGCAAGAGTTGGCTTGTTGAAACAAGCACTGGCTCTGTGCACCGTTCACCTGGCTGATGCTATTGGACAGACAGAGCTTCATGTCAGCTTTCTGGGCTCTGCTTCAGAAGCTGGTTTGGGCTTCTGCAGGCCAGGATCTTGAAGCCAAATTCAGCATAGAAGCTGGTGCATCCTAGCGAAGGGCTTTCTCAATGCCGTCATCCATGCAAGTGAAACAAAGCTATTCTGAGTCTCCTCTGCTGGAGCTGAGGCAAAAGGAAGAAAATCAGTGCAGCTGGCAGCACCTGGGCCCCTGCCCATGGAATGGGAGGCAACTGCTTAGCTGTGTGTTCCAGTGAAATCTGTGAAAAACAGCAAGCCACTCAGAAAGCCTGTTCCTTCAAGACCATCCACCAGCCATCTGTCTGTCCACATCCCATTTCCTCTCCCCTCTGAGCTGCTTGCTTCCCGCAGCTTGGTGCCCCTGATGTGCCAGACTTGTTTGCTCTGCCATTACTCTCTTCTACACCAGCAGACCAGCTCATCACTGTAGCCATCAAAACATGCTGCAAAGAGGGCTTCTTTTAGCACAGGGGTGGGTCACCTTGGCCTGCTTCCATGCAGCTCTCAGCCTGAATTCAGAAGCTCCCTGCAGGCCATCAGTTCAGACCTCTGGCAAGAGCACTATGCCCCTTCCTCAAGAGCAAGCTGGGTGGAAGGAGAGAAAGTGGGGGGGGGGGCAGAAAGGTGGGACACCCACTCTTTTGGCTCTTGTCCCACCCACCATTGCCTTGTCCCCACTGTGTGAAAGATTATACATACATGCTTTCAACAAGTTGCCCACCCCTTCACTAGGAGTGCCCTCTTTCTTTTAGGACACATCTGTACTAAAAAAAAAAAAAGGAAAACCAACATGAAATAGCCAGTTTCTTGCAAAGGGCAAAAGTCTCATGAGGGTGCTGCTGACTGAATTGTTCTATATTTGTGATGCTCAGTCCCTTCACAGAATTACAGCTCTAAGAGTTATTCAGTTTGGAGCCATGACACTTAGCATGGGTTTGAAAACTGGTTTCAGTGTGGAGCATCTGCCGTGTTGCGGTGACTCTAAACCCTCTGCTTCCTAGCATATTATGGTATGCAATTCCTGTACACTGTTACTTTGATTTCCTTAGTGAGCAGCTGTTGCTGAAGGTAAGCCTACAATAAAAAAGGGATTTTCAAATAACCAGTTCTCTTTCTACTATCTCTGGTACAATTTAGGATATCAAAATTCTCATTTATCCTTTGGATGGAAGAGAGAAGGAAGTTCCCAGTGTCCATGGCTGCACTGAAAAGCTTGGCTCCAGGCCATGGCTGGGTTCACATGACATGCTTAGCCCCCAGACAGGGGTGGTGGCTTAGCATGTCATGTGAACCCTCCTCATTTTCAGGGAGGTGGTTTATAAGCCACCAAGGAGTAGCGTAGAAACCACCCCAAGTAGCCATGGCTTGTTTAGGAAACCCGCTGTGGCTTAGTGTGCTGTCCCAGGCAAAATGCTAAGCCACTGTCAAGCCAAAAAAGAGGAGTCCTTTGGTAAGAGTGGCACAGAAGGCTTTCCACTCTGGCCATGGGTTCCGGCTGCCGCCTCCTCCCTCTCAAGTGGTGCAATAAGGGAGGCATTGGGACCAGTGAGAGCCAGTGTGGCGCAGTGCTTAAGGGCACAGTACTGGGACTCAGGCAGCGGGTTCTCATCTTGGCTCAGCCATGGAGCCAACAGGGTGACTTTGTGACAGTCATGGACTTTCATCTCAGCCTACCTCACAGGGCTGTTGCTGTGGGCATAAGATTGAGATCAGCAAGAGGAGGAGGATGTCAGCCACTTTATTGTAAGGAAGAAGGCAGGATATAGATCTAAAAAGGGCCCACTCAGTTTCACTGCCTTTAGAGGAAGCTAAGCTCCCCCCTTCCAGCCACAAGCTGGCTTGTGATGTTCTTGCTGATTGGATGGTGGGGGAACCTGCCTGTCACCCTATACGCATCTATGGGACACTGACAGGCAGAATCACCCGCCCCCCCGAGCCCCAACCTGTGAATTGAGGGGTCAGGAAGGCCCGAGGAGTGGAGAGTGCAGCCCTGCTGAGCAGGAATGCACAGGTGCCCCATGCTGGGCTTCCAAGCCCATGTGAGGCAGCTCCTGCTCCCTCTGTGAGGATCCCTCTCCGCACTCTTGGCCAAGAATGACAACTCTCCAGCCATCAGCAGAAGCACGGGGTGGCGAACCAGGGCAGCAGCCAAACAGCCCGCTTTCAACAGCTGTCACCCCGCTCCCCTCCATGATCCTGCACAGGGCCCAAGGAGTTTGGCTGTGCCCAGCTTGAGTTAGGCACAGCTGTCCTGCCCCTCTGGCACTGGGCACTGTCCGCCCCACAGGAAGTGCAGGAGGTGGCCCAGAGTCAGGCTGATTTGGCCCCCCACTATGGTCTCATCACCTTTGCACAGCAGCACAAGTCAAACATGGTAAAGATGAAATTCTGCCAGCCATATTACTTAATGGTGTGAGAACTCTACCAGGATAAGAAATCCTACGGATGAAGATAAGGATCTTGTGTGGTGTTCTTCCTCTCCACATGCCTGAAAATCCAGGCTCCCTCCCACCTTTCTTCCTGTCACCCCCTTCTCCCTCTCCCACATGCACAATTTCTCTTGGGCTGGAAGAGTGACAGTTTGCTCGTGCTGGTGGTCTGAACCAAGTGCCCGCAGGGACTTTCTCTGGCTGCTCCATCCATTTTGAGTTTTCTTTTCCTCTCCTACCCTCCTTTTCTCCATCAACCCCCCCCCCCCCCATTAATTTAAGCTTAGGGCTGCTGGTTGCTTCCCTCCACCCCACTACATTAGAGAAAGGCAAAATATTTAAAACAAGATTATCTGTTGAAAAGAATGGAATAGATGACCTCTTGGTGGAGTATCTCAACTGCAGGAATCTTATAACACGTTAATGTTTGCTTTTTTTCCTGAGGAAATATTTTTAATTATCATTTTATTGGTGTTTTTTCTCTAAAAAAAGAGATTTACAGGTAAAAAATACTCGCACACATATATAATATATACAAACCATCAAAATACACATCACCATGATATGCCTCAAGTTTTTTTTTCTTTTTTTCATTTTGTTTTCCTCTTTCTTGCTTTCTTTCCCCTTCCCATAGATGAAAATTAGCAGAAGGGGATAGGTTTGACTTCCAGGCTAAAATATAAATGAAGGATACAAAAGCTAAAACGGATGAAAGTATATTCTTTGGTTTCTTAGGTTTACTTTTTTGCTAGGAAAAGGGTGCTTGGGTACGGGGCACTGGGGTAAGTCTGAAAGATGGGAGAGGGAGCAGGTGCCAGCTCAGTGGTACAGGTTATCACTTGATAGCAGAGCAACTCCTGTGTTCAGAAGGCTGAAGATTTGTTCTCCAGCAGCTCCAAAAGGCCTCCAGTCAGGGACTGTGAAGAGCCGCTGCCAGTAAGGATGGGCAAGCCTTGAGCTAGAGGAACTGAAGGCCCAACTTAGTTTCTGGTTGCTTCCTACATTTCCTAGGCAGTCTCTTGTGCTTTGAATCAGGGAATGTGCTTGTCACCTTGCAAAAGAAGGACACTGTCCCAGTAAAGTACAGTGAGAGACAAAGATGCAGAAGAAAGCATCACAGATTTTAGTGTGCGTGCACTTCTTTGATGTCATCTTGCTGGCATCTTTGGTCTTTGAAATGCTACCAATATGGGAGGAGAATTGCACATCCCACTAGCAATGGGATCTCCCACCTTTGAACCCCTGAACGCCTCTGCCCAGTGGTCTGTATGGAGTCTGAAACTTCCCAAGCCCTCACAGTGAGCCTTTTGCCTAGTCTGATTTGAGTTTGAGATGAGCCCAGTTCCCAACACCTCCCACCTTTGGCATGTACTCCTCTCCATTCCCTAGCATCTAAGAGCCCTTCCATACATTAATAGCACAGTCTTCTGCACATTTACCTGGAACGTGAGTTCCGTGGGGCTTACTCCCAAGGAAGAATTGCACCTCAAGTAGTTCTAAGGTCACGTTTGCCACCCCTTGAGTGTACCTGGATGTGGTTGCATAGCCAATCTCTGAGTGTACCTGTGCACATATGTGCATTTCATGTGCACTTTTACCTTTTTTAGATCAACATATATAACATCCTTGCCCTAAACTCAAAAGGGAGGCAGGCCTGGTTCTCCTCTGGAACTAGAACTGTGGGCATGACTTTGGCAGGCACCCTCCTGCATTTTCTCACTTGGGCAAGTCGAGCTAGAGTGGAATGCTGTATATACAACTACAACACAGAATGTGCAGCATGATCCCTTGGTGCAGTTGGGCCAAATGTCCTGCTCTTACAAACCTCACATAGCAAGCAGTAGACCAGTAGTTTGCTTAGCCAGGAGGCGAACAGAAGCTGCCAGGGCAAGAGTCCTTGCAGGAAAGCAGCCTGTATGTGCAGTCTCATGCGATGCTTTGATTGTGCTGTGGGCTTTGCAATGAGAGCAACTGCAGGATGCAAGTGAATGGCCAAAGCCCATGCTGATGTGGTACTCCAGAGCATAGAGGTGACTTGTCAATGGGGCTTCTGTCAGGCTAGCAGCTTTGCAGAGCTGAAGGCCAAAGGTAAGAAGTCCCGATGGGTCTGAAAGGCACCTGCTCTGTGCAAAGAAGGACTTCCTGTTGTCAGATGCCTTGTGCCTGACTGGCTTTCCTGGCACTTGTGGGACGACAAAGCCAGGACCACTGCCCTCTCATATGCCCTTTGTCCTCCAGTTGAGTCCTTCCTGCTCTGTGGGTTTTGCAGGAAGGCTCTGTGAAAAGGATTCAACATCCCTGCCTGCACAAGCTCCCAGATCTCTCCTGCAAAATCCAGGTGAAAAAAGAAATCTGCTTTTGCAAGTATTCCTCTGTGGTGCAAAAGCCTGCATAATTAGATGGGCTTCAGGTATGCAGCCGTGTCAACAAATTCTCTGACATACAGATCAGTGCCCTGCTCTTTTAAAAGTACAGTGGAGGCTGAAGAAGAGGCACTTGGGTGGTGCTTATTATTCAAGAATACAAGTTTCATTTGGAAAAAGTGTGTGTGTGTGTGTGTAGGGAGAACTATAGGACAGATGAAATGAGGAGCTCCTGGGTTTTGCTCTTCTAGCTGGGAGAGTAGAATGAATCCCTTCCTTGGCCATGCCGCCCAGCCTTCATCCAGCACCAGCACCAGCCTTAACAGTGGCGAGGCAAAGTTGTCTGGGGTGTCTGAGGATGCAAGACAGATGCAGTTGGTAGCAAGAGCAGCCCTAGAAAATACTAGCTGGAGTCTCTTTCTGTGAAGCTCCCAACCCACCCCAACCTTGAGTTACTGAGTCCAGCTTAAGAGGTACCTTTACTGTCTCTGTCTGTTTAAGCCAGTCTGGTTTTGATTAATAGCAGTCTCTGCATCACAGCTGTAGGGGGCCTGATCGTACTAGGAGAGAGTGTTAAGGAACTGGTTCTCCCCTGCAAGAGAGTTCAGCATGGAGCTCATATCCCCCACTGCCATATTGGCAGGGCCACCAGCTGGGGAGGTGGGGCTGAGGGCTTCTGCATCATCTAGAATGGCTGTGAAGTCCAAGTGGGTATTCTCTAGGTCCAGAGTGTCCAGGCTGTTGGACACCTGCTCTTCTGGCAGATAAGAGAAGGAGTCTGATTTGAGGACATTCAGCCCAGGGACACAGGGCCCACCTGGATCCTCAGCCACACAGCTAGGTGGCTGATGGTGCCTTTGGTGAACATCCATCAACTTCTGCCCAGGGGCTTTGCTGAGCTGCATGTGCATGGGGCTGGGAAAACCGGCCTCCTCAGGTCTCTGGAGAGGGGGTAAGCGCATCATCCGGTGGGGCCCACCGTTGTTGGGGGATTCATATGAGGGACTAACCTGGTAGCCCAAGCTGCTTTGTCGACTCAGTGGCTTTGGCCCGCCAGGTGGATGGGGGACCATCCCTGGGTTGTAACACTGGCTGCCAGGGCTTGAAAGTGCCTTGTTCTCCATCTCTTGCGGGGATCTGGCTGGGTAGTTGGGGTACCTGGGTCCAGGGTAAGGTGGGTGCTGCTGGCACTGCCCGCTCTCCATGCCATCTATGACGTTGCCATCTGGCTGCTCCCCCCAAATCAGTGCTTGCTGCGACTGCACGTAGCTCCGCACCATCATCTCCTTGACCTGCAGCATTGGGGTCTGGGATCGCCTGCCGGCGGGCTGCCCACCACCAAAGCAAGGGCCCTGCTGGCTCTCAGGCTGGTACCCATCACTTCCACAGACCGGCTGAGCCTGGCAGTATGCCAGCTGCTTCATGCCCTGGCAGGAGGCAAGAGTTGGAGCAGCTGTCTGGAATTGCTGCTCGGCTTTGATGTGGGGCTGCCCGAATGGGAACGTCCCCTGCTGGCCTGCACGACCAGGTTCCACTCCCAGGTGCTTGGTGTCAGGGACTGCGTACTGGGCAGAGGGGCACTGCCCCAGGCCACTGGGTGGCACAGGGTTCATCCCTGAGCTGTCGCTGTCCCAGGGCCGTGCTGCATGGAAAGGCCCACTCATCTGGCACTGGGAGGGAATATACTCCGCCTGCTCAAAGCCACCCTCCAGCGGCTCATGGCTGGCTGGACTCATCTGCAAGTCGCCCACTGCCCTGAGCATGCCTCGGTGGGCCCCACTGCCCTGCAGCTCCATGCCTGCTGTTTGGAACAGGTAGCTCCGCTCCGGGTAGCCAAGGTAAGGGTCCATCTCCAGCAGCTCCTGTTCTCCAGCCGGGATGGCACTCTCCATGGCTGCAGCCTCTAAGAAGACATTTTCACTGATGCTTGGAGGCCGTGGGGAGAAAAGGTGGCGCTGCAGGTTGGCATCAGAGGCCCCCGCTCCTTGGGTGCTGGTTCTGCCCATCCCTGCTGGGCTCACATTGCTAAGACTTTTGAACCGCTGCACTCTGGGAGCGGGATGGGGCTTGCCCACAGACTGGGAGGGGTCACTGGCTCGCCGGGCACTGTGACTGGGTGCCTGGTGGGGGTGGAGGATGCCGGTGGTGTAGCTGTGGTACTCGTTGGTGCTATGCCTACGCATGAACGGCGGCAGGCCCGTGCCCGGGTAATCCCACATGAGGCTGTCCTGTGCTGCCCTCTCCATGCTGGGAAGAGGGGTTGGAGGAGGCCCGCCCGTTGCAGCCGCATACTTGGCCTTGAGCCGGTACTGCTGCGCTGGGGTCAGGTTACCCAGCCCTGGAAGACCTCCGCAGGGACTGGCTTCGCTGGAACGCCGGGAGGCATCTGGGGAGATGGGGTCGTACATGTCAGGCGGGCCGAGCCCATTGGAGGCTCCCCCTGCCGGCAGGTATGGCGATACCATGGAGGAGCGGCGGCTGACTGTATAGGCGGAGCTGATGGTGCTGGTGGTGCTGCCACGGCGCTCGCCTGCCAAGGGGAGGGAGGGCAAATCCCCAGACGACAGCTCCATGATGCGCCGGTGAGAGACAGCCGAGGGCAGCCCACACAGGCCAGGCACCTCCCTTGCAGGGCCTGTGAAGAAACAGAACAGGTGACTAAAAGGACCGAGAGCACAAGGCAAAGGGCTGTGCTCGAGCTAAGCACGATCTTGAGATAGCTCTAGGAGAAAGGCAGCCCTGTTCTGCCAGTCTAGATCGGTGGGTAGAGGGTGGCCCTACAACTCCCACCAACCATAGTCAACACAGCCAATAATGAGGGATGATGGGCCTTGTAGGCCAATATTATCTGGAGGGCCACAGTTGTCCATCCCTGATGGAGAGCCTCCCTCCAACCTCAGAGGAGGTTTTCAGCCTACCTGCTACCTGGCTGACTCCAATCCGCTGGCAACCTGCCTGATATCTCTCTGATGCCCTTGGATCTGACCAGCTGACAGCTGGTTCCTGTGCAGGTCCCAACCAAGGCAGGAGTCCAATTTTCTGTCCTGCTTGAAGTCAATATGAATTGGAACACCTTGACAACGTGCTTCCAGTCTGTTCACTGGGCCCAAGTTTTAAACAAAAATGAGGGGGGCATAGTCAAAATTGGAAGGGGTGATGCTAAATCAAGGGAGGAAAAGTAGGTCCCACGAGACCAAGACAATATCTGTGAGAGGTTTTTCTGCCCTTCTTCTTTCAGAACACCACAAGAACGATGGTGCTTTGCTGGCAGCTGTCTTGAATCTGCAGCAACCAACCCTTGAAATCCTGTCCCCCAGAAGTCCGACTCAGGCTCCCCTCTGGCACCCAAGATTTGAGCAAGCCTTCCGTACATACCTGTTCCAGTGATGGAAGGAAGTTTGACACCTTTCACTGACAGGGGCTTGCGCAGCTGCTTGAGTTTGTCAATGCGCAGATTCTCCAGCTTGTGCAGTGCCGACATCCCGGAGTTGCCCATGGGCTCCGATGGCTCCTCCAGCACTGACAAGTCCTCCAAGCTGCCTCCTGCGTTGGCATTCATCTCCACACCGCTGTCGTTGTTGTTCGTGCTGCCCAAGGGGGACCGTTCGCTGCTGCAGGACGACTGACCTCCAGGGCTGGGCTGCGGTTTCTGAGTGGGGGTGGGAGCACAGCCATTACATTACAGCGCAGGGGTGCCCCCCCATGCCAGTTATGACAAGTTTCGAAGGAAGCAAAATATGTGCAAAAACACAACAAAAATTAAGACAGCTGGTGGGTTTAATCAATAGATTAATAAGTATACATATACAAATTTAGTACATGCATCAATGGGTGTGATAGTAATGGATGTGGGTATGTTTTAAATCATTGGGGTTGGGGGCAGTGAAGTGGTTTTCAAGGTTTCAAGTCAGGGAATTCTTTCTACATCAACTCGTTCATCTAAGGATCCCATGTGCCTCTGCTGCAGAGGATTATAAGTGATATTCTAAGATGATTGCCAGTTAGATGTCTGCACTGCAGACCGAAAATAGATTAACAGCCATTCCTTCTTCGGATGGAACGGCAGTTCTCTGAGGGAGGGGTTGTGTAGGGATGGGTAAAAAGAATCCTCAGCATCCTCCTCAAACTAAGCTCCCAGAATCCTCTGGGAAGAGGAGGAGGAGGAGACAAGACAGTCAAATCAATAGCAGCTTTCTTCCCTCACTACACAGCAACACTGAGGAGGAAAGAGTTTTTGCCAGGACCATAGCCTGGGGTCAGGAGACAGGATTAAATCCAGGTTCTCCAATGGGTTGGGGAGCGCATCTAGTATTTTGCCTATCGGGGGGCTTTCACAAGTGGTTACTATGGGTGGCTTGTCCATTCACAAAGTGGCTACCGTAGTAGGTGCTGTGAGTCACAAAATGCCCATTTCCCAGAAAGCCAAGTGATGAGACTAGAAGAAAAGGAATGTGCCTAAGAACCTAAGTCCAAAGGAAAGGTGTGCTCTGAACTCCCAGACCCCTCCTCCGAGCCCTCCACCTTCTCCTCAAGCCCCCCGTACTCAGAAGGCAGACTGGCGAGGCTCCCGCCCATTTGTCTTTTCTAAGAACACCTCTCTGGCCCAGAGATAATAAAGGTGGTGCAGGAGGCTGGCACTGTGGTTTGCACCACAAGAGTTGTCAGCAGGAAGGCTGGCTCCTTCAAGTGCCGTGCTGGATTAATGCCACTGCCCTGACCTTGATTGGGCTCCCAAATGCCTGCTATTTAACAAACAAACAAACAAACCAAAGCCCAGTTATGTTAAATGGGACATCATGATTTTAATCATCATGATTTTATTTTGTGAACTGCTTTGGGATTTTTTAAAATGAAAAGCAATAAATTAATAAATTAATAAATAATCATGCAGGGTGACCCTGAAATTAATTTGGATTATAACACCAGCCTGTTCTGGCTTTTCAAACCATTCTGCCTTGTCCTCTTCTGGCATTTACCACATACACATGAGAAAGTGCAATTTCTCATGTGTATATAAACCTTCTGTATATAAGATGAATAAAATGCACCTTCCATGCCAAAGGAATTCAAGCTTTGTGCTAAGGAAGGTTGAAGACTGCGATGTCTACAATTTCACTGTTGTCACATGCTGCCTAGTTATCTCTGAATGAATGAGTGCCTTCCAAAACGTCCTGTCCTAGACAGCCCTGTTCAGCTCTGGTAAATTCAGGGCTGTGGCTTCCTTCAAACCTCCTCTTCTCATGTTTGGCCTTCCTCTTCTTCTGCCTTTGACTATCTTCTCCAGTGCATCTTGCCTTCATATGATGTGCCCAGTTTGGCACTTTTGTTTCTAGGGAAAGTTCTGGCTTGATTCGACCGAGGACCCACTTGTTCACCTTTCTCTCAACTTCTGAACATTTGGTACATTAAAAAGGTATATACTTGCACAATGTATATACCTTTGTGTATATACCTTTGGCTACTTTTGCTAGCCATGGGAAGACACCATACAGAGCATTTTAGCTGTAAGTGAAAATCTTTCTCAGTCCTCTCTGATTTTTGACATTTCATTATGCCCACATGCTTTCAAGTACTCCTGGGGAGTCAGAGAGGCACAGAAAATTGAGCTAGGACCCAGGTTGGAGCCCCCACTTGGCTATGAAGCTCACTGGGTAACTTTGGGCCAGTCTCAGACTCTCAGCCTTACCTACCTCACAGGGTTGTTGCTGTGAGGATAAAACAGAGAGGGGAAAGGATCATGTATGCCACCTTGGGCTCCCTGGAGGAAAAGGTGGGATATGAATATAATAAATAAGTAAACTGTTCAAAGCATTAAAGGCTGTTTGGTTCCCTCCTCAGACAAGAGAAAAAGTTAGCTGAAAACTTATTTCAGCTTACTGACGGGTGTTGCTATATACACTTTAAACAATTTGGGATAAATTATTGGGCAGTCGTGGCCGTACAAACTGCTTTGATTCCTCCCTCTTACTTCCAGGTTTGCATTTCATAGGTATGGCTGTGTATTAAAGAATGAGCAAAAGTAGCCCAGGAAACTCCTGCCTGAATCACAAAGACCCTTTCACACTCCTTTGCTCCACGTTTGGCATAACATGTAAGTTAAGAAAGGGTAATGTTGGAATTGATCCTTACTGGCCTCCCTCAGAGCAAGAAATTCTGTTCCAGCCCTCCCCATCCTGGGGCCTTTGGCGAACCATTGCAGCTCCCAGGATTCTCAGCAGCTGACTGCTTCTGGAAGGCTCCCGGATGGGGGAAGCTGCTCTTTGCTCACCACCCCACACTCCACAATGCCCCTTGCCACAGGATTTCTCCTCTGCAACCTCCCCATCCTGAGCTGCTTACCAAGTTAGAGTCGGGCACCGTGAGCTTGCCCTCTTCCTTCCTGCCGTCACTGTCCCTCTCTTGTTTCATGTCCCCATGGAGGGCTAGCATCCGACTGGTAGGCACTGTGTCTCCACGGTGCTTCTTGGTCACATGTGCATCTGGTCCGTGCACTGTCTTGACGTGCTTACGTAGCGAACTGGGATCTGTGTAGCGCTTAGTGCAGCCCGGGATCTTGCAGACATATGGTTTCTACCAGAACACAAGCAGATCCATCAGCCTTTTGGGGCATTTTCCCGTGGCTGAATGGTGTCAGAAAGGCACTCACCAGGAATTGAGCCCCACACACTGCACAAGCAGCGCCCCTCTTCCACGCTCAGTTCCACTGCCACCAGCTGCACGGGGCATGGAAGACTGTTGGTCACTGGAGCCACCTGGAACTGTGCCCCATGCAACTGCTAGCAGAGGCTCTCCTTCATGCCTGGTGATGTCCCCACCGGCTGCCCCAGACATGGAAACAAGCTGGTCAGTGGAGTTCCAGAAAAGGCACCTGCATAGCCACAAACAGTGCCTCTCTTTGGAGACCTGCAGCCGCTCTTTGGGCAGCTGCACCTGACAGGGAAGGTTGCAGGTTCTGCAACTGGTGCTCTGTGAGCAGTTGTGGTCTTCCTCTTGGCTCAGTTCACTTTGTAGGACTGGGCTGAACATGGAAGGAAGTCTGTGGGTGCCAGAGGGACAGATTCCAAAGGGGTTCATCCCAACCCAAGGCTATCTCTAGATTAGCCTTGCTTAAGCTGGTGTGTTTCAAATGACACAAACTACAACTCCCAGTATTCCTGGCCTCTGGCCATGCTGGCTGGGGCCAGTGAGACTGGAGGTCCAAAAGATCTGGGGGGTTCCAAGTGCCTTTTGATGGGAATGCTCGAAGCACCAGGTCCTATCACATCATGTGTGAATGTGTGTATCCAAGTGTGGCTGCCCCAGATCCCAAGGCCATGGCCCACCTGAGACAGCCATTCATACCTCGTTGGAATGTGTCCGGTTCTGGTGCTTGGCCCGATCCGAGGCATTGGAGAATGCCTTGTTGCAGCCCTCATGCTCGCAGACATAGGGCTTCTCCCCTGTGTGGGAGCGCAAGTGGGTCTTGAGGTTTTCCAGCCGTGAGTAGGCCTTATTGCAGCCTTCAAACTGTAAGACAGCAAAAGGTGGATGCAGGACGGTTTGCGTGGCAGGAGAGGGACCCTCCTCCAGTCTCCCCTTCTCTCTGTCAACACAAATAGGTAGCTGCTTTCACACACTCTCCCCCCACACCCACTTCTCTTCTCCTAGGGCATCCTGCTACATGTACTCCAAGTCAGGGATCAGGGATACTTAGGGCCTTCAAACTACAGTGACTGAGCCAATCTATCCAGACCAGATTTCTTCCTTGGTAGTTAATTAACCAGTGCTCTTGCTTACCACAGCATGCACTCACTAATCCATTGCTGTGACCTCATGTCTCCCTCAAAATTTCCTTTTGCTCAACACCATTGCTTTAATCTTTCAGGGCTTTAGTGACTGCGGTTTCCTTGCACCACTTAGAGAGATCTGTTCCAACCTAGCAGTATTCAAGCTCTTCACAGTGGAGAGGGCTTCAGCTGTAGAACCTGCCTGCCACATTCACCCCCACCCCCGCCCTTCATCTTTGACAATGGGGAGGGATCTGGGGACAAGGAATCCATTATTGCCTTTCATTGCCTCTGCTTCAACAATAGGCATGGCTGGTCTGCCATTATTGATTTTTTGGGGAAGCTAAGGTACACACATACGCTGCTGCTCAGCTGTGAAAACCACACAATCTTTTCATTTTTAAGCCTGCATTTCTGAACAGTCGCCTAGGCGTACATGCATGCTTTTTAAGAAAGGAAGCTGAACCAGCTTCAACACTGTGCATCTCCTTTGCAGTCGTAGCGCTGTACTGTGGGCCGCAGCCTGAGCAATGGCTCAGTGATGATGCACATGGGACTTTTCAAAGCCTTCCAAATTACCGGCAACTGAAACATTATGCATTGGTCTGTGCCACTGGATTGCTTTCTAGTCATAGCTGATACTGTGCTGTACTCATTGATTTCTGATTACCAAACAGCAATTGCATATGAAAAACAATACAGGCATAGAAATGAAAAGGACCTCTGATATGGACCTGAACACTGACCTACAGCCACCTCCTTCAAGGTGGCACCCTCTGGATGTTTCAGACAACTCCCAGAATTTCTGACCATTGGCCACAGGGTCTGGGGCTGATGGAGTTGAAGTTCAAAGCATCTGGAGGGCATCTGGCTGAGGAAGGCCATAGTAAGGTGACCACTTGCAAAAGATGAGTGTACCTTTAATCCTTCAGTAGAAGAAGGAACAGTGGCATGTGCAATGGTAAGAAATGCTGCACCTTTACATAAATATCCTACACACACACAAAATTCTACATAACTGCATAAATGTGCCCTCCATGGGGCTGCCCTTGAAGACCATTCAGAAGCTGCAGCTCATGCAAAATGTGGCAGCCAGACTAATAACTGGGACCTGTAAGGCTGAACATAGAAGGCCATTTCTGGCCAACTTGCACAGGCTGCCTGCCTGCTCCCAAGCTCGATTCAAGGTGCTGGTTTTAACCTATAAAGCCTTACATGGCCTAGACGACCAATACTTGATGGCGTGCCTCCCCTAACAGCAGTATTCCTGGATACTATACTCAACATCCAGGACCTTCCTCTGAATGCCAGTTCTGGAGCTATTGCTTGGAGGGTAGCAACAAGAGGGAAGGCTTTCATTGTTGTGGCCTCCCAGCCTAATGAAATGACTGCCCAACTGAGGCCCCTCTGGCACCAAGCTTGCCATCCTTTTGGCACCAGGTTAAGATGATCTTTTATGTCAAGGCTTTTGAAGATGTACTTGGATATCCAAGGGTTTGAGAAGCTTGCCCAGCCCAGGTGTTTCTTACAGGGCTATTCTTCATTGCATGTTTTTAAACTGCTCTTAATTTTGTGTTTAAAATATTTGTATGTTTGATAAGATTTTATGGCCTTTTCTTGTATTTTATTGGAAATTTAGTTTTATGAAGCATTGTGAACAGCCCCGAGAGCTTCAGCTATTGGGCGGAATAGAAATAAAATAAAAATGAATGAATGACCCTAAAAGCTACAGAAGCCTTGTCCAACTTTGCCTCTGGCCCTTATATATCATACAGTTGCCAAACTGTACAAGAGACAGGGTTCTGGCATGCTTTTAATGATAACACAGCGGGAAGGATTTCAGCGAGTGCAGCCCCTTTATTACACTCAGGTCAGTGTGTGTGCTGCACTTCTTATCCAAGAGAGTTCTGCAGCAAGTCCTCAATGTGCGCAATAGATGACATTCAAGCATATATTTTGCAGGCTCTGCTTATTGTCAGTCAGGAGGAAAGGGTGAAGAGTTAAACTACAGCTCCAGCCCTGGTCACTGGAAAATCTTCTGTCTTCTAGGATTTCACTAAGCACTACCTACATTTCAAACACTTCTTTGAAGTCCCAAGGGCTGGGAACTTGCCCTCCTATTCTGAAAAGAAAACAAAGCAAGCTGACATTTTTCAGGATGCTGCTTTCTGCAGCAGGCAAGACCCATCTCTGTTCTTGTCCAGTGTGCTGAATTATGTGATACAGGCAGTCCCCAAGTTATGAACAACCTGTACTTACTAAATGAATTGTCATAAAGTTTATTATTTTTAAAAAAAAATCACTGCAGGCAATTGTCATAACCACAGATAGAAAGAGAGGAAGCAAAAGGGGAGAAAGGGAGGCCTCCAAAGCAGGCCCTTCTGCCTCACCCATCTGAAGAGGGAAATCTCTCCACCATTTCCTGCAGCAAAGAGGAGGCACTGTTGAGTTTGGGTGGGAGGCGGCTAGAGATATTCAGTTTTTCCACTTTCATGGGGGTCCTGTGCCCCTAACCCTGACTATATATATTACATACAAATTCGACTTAAAGATGAATTTCCCTTTTCTCAGGAACAGAACTCGTTTGCAACCCAGGGACTCCCTGTCTACCGAAACCTTGGTCACTGCACTGCAATGGAGGAAGAGATGCTCCCAAATTCCTCACATGGGGTGTAAGGAAGAAAGTGCCGGAAAATGTGTGTTGTGGCGTGTGGCTCACGGCCAGCTCACACCACATGCATGGCTGCCTGTGTACTGTCCCTGCTGCATGCAATGGCCTTTCCTGTGGCTACTGAAGGGGTTGCATGAGCAGGCCCTGCGGGAGCCCTGAGAATTCACGCCCCGCTGTGCCTCCTGCATCCACCCTCCCTGTCTCTTTCGATGCGCTGGCCCGGCCCATTCTCCTTACCGTACACTTGTGGGGCTTTTCTCCCGTGTGACGCCTCATGTGGACGACCAGCATGTACTGAGCTTTGAAGGGTCGCTGCTCCCGCGAACAGTCGTGCCAGTGGCACACAAACTCCTTCTTCTCCCCATGGATGTGCTCGTTGTTAATGTGCTGCAGTGCCAGGGGAAAGAAAGGAGCCACGCAGAGACCAGAATTAGTGCAAGCAGCCATTTCGGGATTCATCCCCTCAGGTGTCAGTGGACTGAGGAGTTGTGGGGGGAAAGTGGGGGTGAAATGACAGCTGCTGACTGATTATAAAGAGTTTTTTATGTTCTGAAGCAGCCTTCCCCAACCTGGGGCCCTCTGGTGATGATGCCTCACAACTCCCAGCATGCCCCAACTAGCATAGGCTGAGGCATGCTGGGAGTTGTTGGGCAATGCACCTGTAGAACATCAGGTTGGGGAGGCCTGTCTTAAAGGAATGTAGCATATTTAATATCATATATTCTTAGTCTCTGCACTAACCATATTTCATGGAACTGTTGTAGCCCTTTTCATCTGCTGATGCATTTGTTACAATTCATAATTAACTATACTATTTGAGTCATGTCCTAACAAAGCTAGGAGGGGCCCTGGAGGATGCTGATGCTGTGAAAAGGACCTGCAAACTTCTGTGTGTAATCGCAAATGCACAATAGATGCCTCAGGTGGAAAAGTCCTAAGTTTCCAAGGGAAGGTGGAATGTCAACATCCAGTGCCTCCCTCAGGTACCTGAGAGCAGAACAACCTCTCTCATATACCAGACTTTATATTTCAAGCTGCCTCTTAGTGTGGATTCAGTCGAGGAACCTGAAGCAGGTCGAATCAACAATGCAAACTCAAACTGGTTTAATAGCCTTATTTCCCTCAGCCCAGAGCATTCTGGGAGCAGTGGTTCTGTGACAGAGATGAAGGATCTCTAACAGAGAGTTGTTTTGTTTAATTATTTAATTAATTTTTATACTGCCCAACAGTCAAGGCTCTCTGGGCAGATCACAAGTTCTTAGGGACCTCAGTGCACTACAACTCTCAAGATGCTCTGAGTGGACCTGCAACTAGTATAACAAGTGTTTAACCAAACAGATGGCAATCTAACTACTGGAATCAGCCTATGGGGTCAAGAGGCAGGACTGAATGCTGGGCAAGTCTTAGTTTCTAGATTACTGTCCAAACCACTAGAATAGGCTTGGGAGAGGAGCTTCTATCCTTACCTTTGTGTAGAAGAATGCTGCAAAACGTACGAAGGCAAGGAGCTGCCAGCCCTATTCCTCTTTGCTCTTTGTGGTTCTTATCCTACTGTACAGCTGCAGAGCATTAAAAAGGGGGTAGTGGCTTCTTAGTGGCAGCCCCTTGACTGTGGGATGCTCTCCCCATGGCAGTCCACCTGGTACCAGCTTTGTCATTCTTTCAGTGCCCTCTGTACTGAGGTATTTAAAGACAATCGAGGGACATCTAACAAGTTCCATGTTCAAGTGTTTTCTATTTGATCAGCTTTGAATTAAAAATGTTTTTAGCTGCTAAATTGTGTTTAAAAAATCATACTGTTTTTAGATTTTATGGGAATATATTTTTGTAACATTAGGGTGCTTTAAGTGTTGTAAACTGCCCAGAGTGCTTTGGCTATCAAGTATGGCTAAGCAGGCATCTCTCCAGGGTATATTTGGTATAGCTTATCAGGTATAGTGTGTTGGATAAGACTGCACATTCTGCTCGCCAGTCGGAAACACACACCCCAGCACCCCAGCACTCACGTGCACCAGCTGCTCCTGTGTGTCAAACTCTTTGGAGCACCCTTCCCAGTGGCAATTGGTCTCATACACAGCCTCAGCCTCCACCTTGCCATCTTCCTTCTCTAATTCGTCCCTGGGATCCAGCATGCCCAGTAAGGGATCCTAGGGTAGAGGTAAAATACAAAGCATGCTTGGAAGTTTTGTGAGGACAACTCCTTGGTCCAGCCTGCTTCCTCTTCAGAAGGGAGGCAGCAGTCTGAGACTCTCTGCCCCACCAGAGTTGCATGGACTGATGAACTGAAGTCTACACATCTGCTTCGCACCCTCTCACTGCCTGTATGGCCATTGAGAAGGCCAGCACTTTGACCCTGGCAACCAGCAATGAATCATAGCTCAGTGCTTGAGTGCCCATATTTTTGCATCTTGAAAGTCCCAGATTCTCCACACCTCTCTGGCCTGAAAAGGAAGACCCTCTGCCTGATACCCTGAAGTTCAGCTGCCAGGTGGTTTCATATATACTGGGGTGGATCTAAGGTTGAAGGTCCACCAGTGGAGCAGATACTACTGGTGGAATTGGACTTTCCGCATCCTCTCCTCCCACCTGCATGCCCATGTGTCTCTTCAAATTATGCTTCAGAATGCTGAGGGATCTCAGCAAAGCAAATAGAGAAAGTTTTGGGAGGCTGTAGTGGAGGAAGAAAAGATGAAGAAAGCCCCCTTCTGCCAGCAGTATCCATTCTGCTGCTGAAACATTGTCTTTAGATCCATATGTAAATTCCCCAAAAATGTTTTCCATGTGGCTTTCACTGGCACCACATAGGCAAGTGAGTGTATGAAAAAATGGTTAGGGTAGGTCTTATATGGCCAGCTTCCCTTTCCAGTAGATCAAGAGCTAATGCACAATCACACCTTCTTGCAGAAGGGCAGCTGCCAATACATAATTTAAAAGGACATGAATCGGTTTTAAAAATCTACTCCTCAGCCCACATGCCAGCCATCAGTTGCCTATCCAGGTAGTGTCTTGCATTCTTCTCAAAATAATCTTCTGCTAGGGCTCCCCTGAGCCCCAGGTGGAAGATAATTGGATCAACATCTTGTAGCTATTAGAGAGATCTCTTTCTATAGCCTTGCTGCATGAATCTGTTGCTGCACAGGTGAGATTTTATTTATTTAAAGATTTTATATGCCATCCCCTTGCTATATAGCCTCAGGACAGCTCACAGAAATAAATAAATATCATACAAATACAGTTAAAAACCCGGAAACACCTTGGCTGCACAATTAAAACCCAATAAATGTTAAACATTGTTATTGTTTGAATAAAAAGGTCTTAGCCTGGTACCGAAAAACAAATAATGACGGCACCAGGCAGACCTCTCTGGGGAGCGCATTCCACAGATGGGGCGCCACCGCAGAGAAAGCCCTCCTCTGCGTACTTTGCTTCCTGATGTCTCTTACTGAGGGCTCCCGGAGGAGAGCCTCTGCTGTCAATCTCAAGGGGTGGGAGGGCAAATATGGACGCAGTGTTCCTTCAGATATACAGGTCCCAAGCTGTTAAGGGCTTTATAGGTGATTACCAACACCTTGAATTGAGCCCGGACTTCGATGGGAAGCCAGTGAAGCTGGTAGAGAACTGGGGTTATATGAGAATAATGCCCAGTCCCCGTCAGCAACCTGGCTGCTCTATTTTGCACCATCTGAAGTATCCGGACTGTCTTCAAGGGCAGCCCTATGTAGAGCACGTTACAGAAATGCAACCAGGAAGTAACCAATGCATATGTCACTGTCGCCAGGCAGTCGTCCTCCAGGTAGGGACGCAGCTGATGGATTAGCCAAAGCTAATGGAAAGCGCTTCTTGCCACTGCCATCACCTGAGCTTCCAAAGACAGCTCCGGGTCGAGGAGCACTCCCAAGCTGCGAACCCTGTCCTTCAGAGGGAGTGCAACCCCATTCAGGACAAGATCCAAGTCACCTACCCAGGAGTTCGAACCACCCACCAGCAGGACCTCCGTCTTGTCTGGATTGAGCTTCAGTTTATTGGCCCTCATCCAGCCCATTACCTTGGCCAGGCACCGGTTCAGTACAGCCACTGCCTCACCTGGATTGGTTGAAAATGAGAGGTAGAGCTGGGTATCATCAGCGTACTGATGATTCCGCAGCCCACACCTCCGGATGACCTCTCCCAGCGGTTTCATGTAAATGTTAAATAGCAGGGGGGACAGAATGGACCTCTGTGGTACTCCATGGTCCCCCAGCACCACCTTCTGGAATCGGCCGTCGAGATAGGAGCGGAACCACTGCCAAGCAGTGCCTCTTACTCCCAGCCCCTTAGCCTATCCAGAAGGATACCATAGTCAATGGTATCGAAAGCTGCTGAGAGGTCCAGAAGAACCAACAGGGACGTACTCCCCCTGTCTCTCTCTCCCTGCACAGGTCATCATACAGGGAGACCAAGGCAAATTCAGTACCATACCCGGGTCTGAAGCTGGAGTGAAATGGGTCCAGATAATCAGTCTCATCCAAGAGAGCTTGGAGTTGTCCCGCCACCTCCTGTTCCAACACCTTGCTCAAGAACGGGATGTTGGCTACTGGTCTATAATTGGCGGTCATCTCTGGATCCAGGGATGCCTTCTTTAGGACCGGCCTGACCACTGCCTCCTTTAAAGGGGCAGGCACTTGGTCATCCCTCAGAGCGGCATTGATGACCTCCAGGATCCAGGAACCAATCCTGTGTTTGGCTCTGGACAGTAGCCACGATGGGCAAGGGTCCAGTAAACAGGTGGTGGTATGTACTTGTCCAAGCACCTTGTCCACATCATCAGGCCGCAATAACTGAAACTCATCCAACAATATGTGACCTGATGGTAACATTGGCATCTCCCCTAAGGAATCTGAGTCATTAGCGGAGTCCAGCTCGTGACGAATCTGAGCAACTTTCTCCTTATAGTGCTGGGCAAAGTCGTCACAGCGGGTTATCGAGGGTGGTACAGGATCTTTCTTAGGGCCTGGATGTACCAGCCCCTGTAGCACCCGAAAAAGTTCCACTGGACGGCACTGTGAGGAGGCAATGGAAATGGAGAAGAATTTCTTCTTCGCCGCCCTCACCATCACAGCATAGGCCCGATAATGGGCTCTTAAGTGTGTTCGGTCAGATTCATCCCGAGAGTTCCTCCACCTATGCTCTAGCCGTCTCCCAACCCGCTTCATCTTCAACCAGTGCTTTCTACGCACATTAAGGATGCTGTGGGATTTAGGCAAGAAGGACCCCAGAGTTCACACTTTTTTTTGTTTGCATCAGTATTGCATTGAATACAACATGGATGTGTGAGAACTGTTGTTGCAGTGTTGTCATGGGTCTATTACAGTATTTGCCTCTCTCAAGCTGTGGAAAGCTGCTTGATTTCTAACAGTACCCATTTACCTGGGAGTAAGACCCACTGAACTCCACAGGACTTATTTTAGAGGAGATATGCATAGGATCATATGGATGGAACCCTAACAGCTCCCTCATTACTGGTAATGAAACACTCCTATAGAACAAATCTTCTCTTCCCTCCCAGCTGATAAGGAAAATGAGCCACACAAGGGAGGACAAACAGAAAAAGTGGAGTCAGAAACGTCCCTTCCCTTCTGACTCTGCTTTCTCATCACCAGCAGTACTGGAAAAGTGACCAAGCACATCGCATCCTCCCAGCTGGCCTGGCCTATAGGGATCCTAAACCAGCACCAAAGGTTGTCCCATTGTGCAGCATGCTGCCCAGCTTGTAAGGTGGATTTACACATGCAGGAGGAACATCTGGTACAGTTTTTCCTGGGCCATGCCATGTTAGGTTGCCAATGGGGAATCTCATGTTTGAATACCCACTGCCACACACACATGATCCTTCCTACTCATCAAAAATTGGTATGTCAGTGATAGGCTAGTGTACAATGTCATCATATACGTGCCTGCTCAAAAGTTAGCCCCAAGGATTCCAATGGGATTTACTCCCAGGTTAATATAGGACTGGAGCCTCAGAATATTTCTCCTAGACAAGTTAATTTTCTAAGTGCAGGGCAGTTCACCTTTTCCATCAAGGAAAAGCCGGCATGATCCTGCTGCTGGTGCATTTTGGCTGATGCGTGGCACAGATTTGTTCTTATCTCAGCCATGCTGTGGGCCTCCAGATGCATTGATCCACAACACCAAAGATTCCTCAATATTGGCTATGCTGGCTAGGGTTGATGGGAGCTGTGGTCCCCCTGATCTTTTGGACCTACAAGTTGCCCATCCCTGCATTAACTAATAAGAAGCTAGGCTGGAATGCAGCCATGTGATTGATATAGCCAACTGTGAAGTTTCCACACATGGAGAGCAGAGGTGTGGTGGAACATGGGCCCACAGGGATGCAGCACCGGCACTTCTTTACTAGGAGGGATGCTACATCATCTCTTCCCTTGAGATGACTCTCTCTGAGCTCAGCTGCAATCTTCACAGTAGGTGGGAGGGAAACAGGATTTTCCAGCAACATCATATCGCTCCCTGATATAAGGCAAAATAATGCCTTAGTCTTGAAAGGGCAATTCAGTCCTGTTAACTTCACAAAGAACCTGCTCCTTGTGGAGGTGAAAACTGTTGAAACTGGTTTGCTAAAGTGGATCAACACGCTGCCTGCCTTTTCTGTAGTTTCTCTTTGCAGCTCAGCTCCCTGTAAGTAGGACTACAGCAGTTGTGTGTCTGTGAATGGAATCAAAGCCTCTCTCTCACACATTCTCTGAAGGAACCACCCATTCCCAATCTGACAGCAGACTGCAGATGTGAAGAGAGGGTATATTGGTGACTGTGTGAACATGCCACTGTGGCCTGGTGTTACCTGCGTCCCCGTAGAGGCCGGGCTGGAAATGTCACCCTCCGAGCACTCCTCCAGGCACTTGGTGCTTAGGGCATCCAGAGGGCTGCCCAGGCTGGGCTCTGACTTCAGCTGTGGGAAAGAGATGGCGAGAGCTCCAGGTGATGGTGCCCTCTCCAACTTCCTCCTACCCCATCCCAAAAGGAGGCCCTTCTTCCCACATCTGTACAGCCACCCTTCCTTCTCCCCCAGGCTAACTGGACAGGTCATTCTGCAGGCTTACCAGGAGTGCCAAGACACTGCTCAGTTTAAAGGAAAAACACAGGGCTTTGTTTTTGTTTTTTTTGTTTTTTGTGGGAGAAGTTTGCTTGTTGGTCTCAGGACTTTACACGACAGGTATGTTGTTGTCACACTGGGTATGCATAGGCTTTAGCTCAGTGGTGGGGAACCTCAGTCCCAGGGTATAAATCAAGCCTTCCCAGCATCCCAGTCCAGTCTTCTGGGGTCCCCCAGATAGCCAAACCACTTCCCCTGGTCTCATCTAGTTGGCTGGTTTCCCAACTTTGGTGCAATTCTCCCCCATTCTAAAAGGATGAAACACCTCTCCTAAGACTCAGTTCCTGGTATTATGAGCTAGACATGAAGATGGTGTTATCTAGTCCACATGGACAATTCCCTGAATGGGGCAGGGCGCCAGCACTAAAAAAGCCTTTGCCAGAGGCAGTCACAATATTCTCCTGGAGGATCCTGGGAACGGAAGCTTTGTGAGGTTCTAAGAGCCCATTGTTAAGGAGATCCCTATAGCTCACACATCAAGCTAAGTTTTCAGGGGGTCCCTGAGTGGAGAAAACAGCAACTTAGAGTTTGGGTATGTTCTGAAGCAAGCCTGGGTGGCTGAATGTGGCTCTCCAGGGGTTCTCTGATGGCCATGCCCCTTTCTCTGGCCCCACCCCTTCTCCCTGATCACTGATGATTCAGTGGTTTCTCAACCTTGGTGCACTTTCCCTTATTCTAAAATGACAAAATACTTCTTGTAAGGCTTCATTCTGGGCAATAAGAGCTTGCCCCACCCCTCCCGTGCCTGGGCCTCCCCATAATGGAAGTCAGCTCACAGGCTGACAGTGGCTCAGCAGCCCTGCATTAGAGTGACATATTGAGAGTAACAGGCTGACAGGTCAGGCACCCATTTACCTGGCAGTGTTTCAGCATCCCACAGGGGGGCGGCATATGATGGTGCATCATTGCTGGTCGATTGGGCATGTGTTCATGAGACCCACAGGGGACCATCGGTGGGTTGTGGCCAAACGACATCCCCTGAGCTTTCTGGTGGCCCATGGGGCTCTGGAACCCAAGTGAAGGACTGCAGGGGATGACAGAAGAAAACAAAAGTCAGTCTTTGAATCTCACCTTATTTGCCCCACAATGGTGCAGACCGTGGATTCCACAGGAACACAGCACAAACAGTACTGAGCCAAAAATGACACTTCCTGAGATTCTTGGTTATCTTCCTCCCACTTAGCAAAGGCAAGGCATGTTTCTAGTCCTTAAGTTTGAGATAGAAAGGATATGTGCAATGATTTTTGGTCAAGAAGCTTGGGGCTGATGAAACATCTGATTAGGGGTCATTCCCAGTGGAAGAATTAGATGCAATATGTCCGGAAGTTACTGTGTTCCTCCAGGACTTTCCTAAAGCTCTTATTCTGTTCAAAGTATGCTTGTTCCTCATTCCCTTACCCAGCTTATCTTAAACTCAAGGGAACTTATCCTTTGATGATACTTGACACTGCAGTACTAATGCTTTTATCATTCTGTTGTTTTGCTGTTCTCTTTTTTCTTTTAAGGGCCAATATTTTACTACCTGACTGGATTTTTATTGTATTTCATTGTGCATGCATCTGTATATGCATACACAGATGCAAGCACAGAGCATTCTTTTTTCTTATAAGAAACACAATTCATTACATTTATATCTCACCTTTTTCCTGCAAGGAATCCAAGGCAGTGTACCAAGTTCTCTTCCTCTCCATGTTATCCTTACAACAACAACCCTGTGTGGTAGGTTAGTCCAGAGTCTGTGACTGGCCCAACACCACCCAGTGAGTTTCATGGCTGAGTGGGGATTAGAACCCGAATCTCCTGGTTCTAGTCCCTGAACCACTGTGCCACATAGGCTCTCTCAAATACACTTAATTTGACAACCATTTCAAATCTGTTCAAACCTCTTGTTTCTCCCAAAGAAATATCAGAATGGCATGTTCCCAGGTTTCTTGGTTTGAGGCTACAGTAGACTGAATTTTTCAGAGAGTTCCCCAGAGACACCAGAGAAGTCTTCCACCAACCTAGTGCCCTCCCATTGTCTAGTATGGCCATTAGGTGATGGAAGTTGTAGTCCAACATGTCCTGAGAGCAGTGGGTTGTGGGGAAGGCCACACTCACACCACCCCCAAAGGGAGCGACCCACCTGACAGTTCCGATGGAGAGGTGCCCGTAGGAACCCCCGGCCGAGGCACAGCGTGAGTTGATGTAAGCAACTAAGGAATTGGGAGAGGTGCGGATGACCGTCTGGAGGTCAATGCTGGCATCTGAGAGCGGAGAGATGGACAGGGCCCGCTTCTTTGTCAGCTTGGCTGTGCTCCGGGGTGTAGAGAAACGAGTACCTGCAGAATGAGAAGCAGGGAGGAAAGTCGAAAAAAGTAGGTGGCCAGCATATATGCAGTCGGACCATTATGTAGTTCAGTCACAGTCAGTTACAGTGACTGGCAGGCTGTCCTGCAAGGCAGGTTAAAAAATTCTATTTGACATAGATGGTAATAATACTAATAACAATAACTGGAAATATTGCCAAGTTTCTGCTGGTGCCTATATCTTTCACCACTCAGGTTTGCAGCCCAACTTTCCCCACCTGGATTCTGGGAGTCCAACACACCTGGAATTCTGGGAGCTGAAGCCCAGCGCATCTGGGGCCCAGGCTGAGGAAGGCTGGGCTACTGACTTGAGCCCTGAGAGCTACAGACAGAAACTTGGCAATATTTCCAGGTTTATTATATGATAATTATTGTTTGATCCACCTTTTAGGATGATTCTGGAAGTTGCAGTCCAACACATCTGGAGGGGCCAGGCTGGCCCAGCCTCCAAGGATTGCTCCTCCTACTCCATTCCCTGGTTCCAGCCTGATTTTATTGGCCATTAATCCCACTCTCCACCCATTATTTTTTTGAAAAACTCACCCTCAGTATGAGAAGAATGTCCCCCTGCAGGCATCATCCCATAGGCGTGGTGATTCCCCATGGAGTTGGCCTGGTGGTAAAATGGCAAGTCACTGATCCCTGGAAAAAGAACAAGGCAAGGATGGCAGTGCCCTGGTGGGGAGCCCTGTGCTGCCCCAGCCCAGGGCTCACATCGCCCCGGAGACAGGAACACCAGGATTTGTATGTTACGTGGACACAGGAAGAGCCCTGCTTGTCAAGTCCAATGTCTGTCTAGCACTCTGCTTCCAGCAGCAGCCAGACAAAAACTTCTGGAAGTTTACCAGCATGACCTGAAATTCGGGCTTTTTCCTGGGGTTTGTCCTGAGGAACTGGCATTCAGTGGCATAATTTCTGTGAATGGAGCTGATCTATTAAGCTTCCACGGTCAACGATTCAAAAATGCCATGAAATGTTGCAGCGTGGCGTGCTCCCTGTTCAGCCACACAGTTCCACTGCTTCCCTTGCAGCATTCCATGGGCCACTGGAATGCTGTTTAGTCCTTGATGGGCTATTGGGGGCTGGGGGCCTCTCTTGTGAGGGTTTGGAAGGCCACTTAAGCCAGCTCATAGTGATCTTCTTATGGAGAAACCCTTGCTAAATGACTGAGAGTGATGAATGAACAGAGGGCTGGAAAGGGCCATGACTGGATGAACTAAGGCACTGCAGTTTCTCCCCAAAGAGGCATGGCTGTGTGGTAAGTGCAAGTGGATGAACGTAGCTGGCTATGATGAGGAAGGGGATGGGGAAATTGTGCATAGGGTCTTAATGCCACTAGGGGTAGACAAAAAAACAACTTTTTTGCTGTTTTAGTGTTGTTTTAATGATTGTAAGCCGTCCTGAGATGCCATGCATAAGGGATGGCATACAAACGTTTTAAATAAATGAACAAACAAACTGGTCTGCCCTTTGGATGTTTTGGACTACAACTACCATCAGCTCCAGCCAGGGCTCTGAGAGCATGGGAGTTGTAGTCTAAACTAACTGGAATGGAACAGGTTGCCTGCAAAAGTGATCTTCAGACATGGTTCAGAACTGTTCTAGGATCCCTTGGGAATTATCTTCAGTTCTTCAGCCAGGAGTGTAGTCATGGCAGAAATATTTCCCTAAATGTCTGCTTGCTCACCACAACTTCTCTTGCCCTGCAATATGGACCAATGAGAGAGAGTGTGCGTTTGTGTTTTGTCCTGGGGCAGATGGGCACAGAGTAATCATGATCCCTTGCAGTCCATTTAGATAGAAAGTGCGGCTTTCAGACACTCTGCAAACCTGTTACAAAACAACTGGGTCCCCTGGCAGGCCAGTGAGAACTCCTCAGCAGATAAAATAGAGGGGAGAGGCTCCTAGGAAGCCAAGATGTTTGAAAACTGCCTTGCACAAGCCTGACCAGAGAGCCTTGCAGATAAATGGGCTGTAGTGTGGAGGAGCAGATAATGTCCCCCTGGTGTAGCAGGAGGATTGCCAAGCACTTGATAGATTTGGGACCCAGGCTCCAAAGCATTGAATCTCCACACAGTTTGTTATGTCATTAATATATCTACATATGCATATTTAGGAAAATGCCCAGGATTTATTTACATTTCAGAGAAAGCAAAGCCTGCCAATTGATTTCTCATCCAAATTATCTCAAAGAAAGTGATCAATGATCATTCCTGCCCCAGATTACCCAAGTAAATAGTTTCTCTTCATTCTGTACCCCTAAGCTTGACCAGTTTGTGCAAAGGGGGGGCAGCTGCAGCATCTTAGGAAAAGGAATGGATTTTTCCCACCTTAGCTGCAATCCTCCTTCCAAAACACCCCTTGAATGGCACTGAACCTAGCAGAAAACCTTCCTCTGGCACCAGTGGTTACTCTGAGAAATAGAGTGGGGACCACGGGCCAGGACCAGCAATGCCCCTGAGTGAGGCTGACCTTCTGCCATGGAGCTGGGTTGCCCCTGCCCGTGAAGAGGCCGAAGGTAACAGTGCTCCACATAGTTGCTAACTGGTGGGTTCACGGAGTTGAACATGGTGCATCAGAAGCTGGTTGCAGTCAGGAGCACATCTGCTAAGCGGGGGACAGGAAACGGTGCTGTTCTGGCTGAGGCGTCCAGATCTGTAAGAGACAGAGTGCAGTGAGTTATGTGGGTAGGGCAGAGAGGCCACCATGGAGGATCCCACCCCTCCAGTCATGGCTGCAGCAGCTCCAGAATTACTGCACTTGATGGCATTCGGCAATCTGTCCAAGCACCCCAGTTCGCATCATTGGCAGGGTAGGAGGGATTGCAGCTGAGTGGGCAGACCACAGGCACTGCATGGAAAAGGTCCCCAGTTCAATCTCTGGCATCTCCAGAAAACCCAAGAAAGTCAACTAATGTGCAAGATAGACCAATGGACCAACTTAATAAAAGGCAGTTGCCCAGGTTCATATCTGTACAATGTATCATTGCTTGATGCTATTATGGTTATATCCCCTTTCTTCCTGGAAGGAACATCTTCTACGACTAACTCCATGTGATGAATGATATCAAAACAGGACATTTTGGGGGATGTTCATTCATAGGGTGGCCTATGAAGGTAAGCAGGGGACAACTTGGAGCAGCACATACCCTTAAGCAGACACATGGATTGAGAGTTCCTGATGGGAGTAAGCAAAAAGTTTCCCTGTATAGGCCTGGGGGGAGGGGGAGAGAGTTAAAGGCTGATTTGATACATTCAAGATTAAACTGGGAGCAAGGGGAAGGAAATGCATTTCAAGAGCATTTCTTGGGGTTACTTTTCTCTTACACCTCATCATAAATATAGTGATGTTATTAGCACAGGACAGCCAGATAAACAAACTCACATTTTCAAACAAAAGAATGGCCATACCTAATACAAAATCCCCCTTTCCGCCTAGGCATACTACTTGGGAGCAAGCCCTGCTGAAATCCTTGGGACTTACTTCTGAGGAAGCATGCACAAGCTTAAGCTGTCTGCCTGTCCCTCAGCCCCTGATAAAATTTTCCCGAGTTAATAGCTCTTCGTAGAAAAAGGCTTCTCCAGCACAGACACAGAAGATCTTCAGGGATAATCAACAGCCCCCCATTCCCAAGCTTGTCCTAACTTGCACCCTTGCACAAAGGCTGAAACGGCATCCTTTGGAATACAAATTCAAGCTTGAGGAAAGCAGTTTCTCACCATTTAAGTGGCACCTGTCCATCACGTCTGGCCCCAAACCCCAGTTCAAATCTTTCACTAAGAGCAGAATGGCTGGGAGGTCTGTTGACTTTTCTCCCAGCCCAGGTGCATGGAAAATACCCACCATGCCTTCTGACAGACCCAGGTAAGGAAGGCAGAGTGTCCATCTCACAAAGAGCTGCTCCCTTCCTTCAAAAGCAGCCCATCATGGTGCAACTAGCTAATTTTCAGCCACATCATCCTATTTCTATCCTGGCTATTTTCCTCTTGCAAGGAATCCATGGCACTACCACTCAAAAGACTTCATTTACACATGTATTCTATTTATAGCTGGCCTTTTCTTCTTTGAGGAACTTTCAGCGATTCACATGATTTTCCTCTTCCTTTCCAATTTATCCTCACAACCACCCTGTGAGGCAGGTAGCCCGAGAGTCCAAAGTGAGCTTCATGGCCGAGGGAAGGGACTAGAACCTGGATCTCCCGAGTTCCAGTCCAATACTTACCCACTATGCCACACTGGATCTCCAGCATGGTTGCACTGACATTATGCAGCTCTTCTGCCTTTCTCTCCCTTCTGTGGGAAGAAAAAAGAAGAGGCAGTGGAAAAACATGTGGCGCGTGTGTGTGTGTGTTCAAATGAACAATAAAGTCATCTGGATCTATGAAAAAGCTGCTGTGATTCAAAAACATTATTATACTTTTCAACAGTCCGATAATCTGAGTTCAACTCATTAAAAACAGAAAATACTATCCATAAACCAATGAATACAAAGAGTGCATAGTACAGGCCTTATATGGAAGTGTGTCCAGCCATTTTGGGTGGCAACCATGCACTATGGCTTGACCACTTATGCTTTGCCCAGTTTTACCTTTGATGCCAGGTTGGGCGGGCAGTGTGGACCTACATTAACTTCTAAGAGGAACCACTGCTTTGCTTTCTCAGACTGTGAAAAAACAACACTCCAGCAGTGGTGTGGAAGTACGGCATGTTACTGGAGGACGGTTTGGATTCCACTGGGAGTCTCTGAACTGCCAGCAGTGCCTTCTGGATTCCAGCAGGGGGGGCAGCACCACAAGGTCGTATTGCCGTTTCCTTTCAAGTGAGAGCTCGAGATACTTTCCCAGATGTGCAAGCCTGTGAGTTTCGTCCTCCACAGCCAGCATGGCCAATGGCTCCTGCGGGGAACCAGGCCCAGGAAGGGTCAATTCCTTCATGTCAAAAGCCATGAAGGCCAATTTTGATTGTGGAAATGGTGCATCTCCCTCTGCCACTGCACCAAAGAAATTGGTGGCCACCTGAGGTTGCTTTTTATTTTAAAAAGAAGGGGGATCAGTAATTCTTGGCATGACCTATGGAAGCTTTTGTATATCCAAATGTATTGAACTTTGAAAAGATCATAAGATATGACGATATCTTGGATAAGGATGGTGGCCTGAAACTGGAGCAAGAAATACAAGAACAGGGACTTAATATTTCCTGTTGGTATAAGGTGCAGATGCAATTGAGATATGCTAAAGACTGTAAAACATGGGGGTTTTACAAAGACCTAACAGAGTTTGATCAAGTGATGCTTAAAACAGATGAGAAAATTATTAAAAGACTATACGATTTTTTACTTGACAGGAAAATGGAAGGGGAACAAATTAAGGAAACTATGATAATATGGGCACAAAACTTTGGATTTAATGTTGAATTAGAAAAGTGGCAAAAACTATGGGAAAGAAACATTAAGATAACATTAGCAACTTCGTATAAAGAAAATTTATATAAAATGTTCTATAGATGGTATTTGTCACCAAGTTGATTAACTAAGATGTTTCCAAATATGTCAAATAGATGTTGGAAATGTAAACATAAAGAGGGTACTTTCTATCACATGTGGTGGACTTGTGATAATGCGAAAAAGTATTGGATTAAAATACATAGATGGATGGAGGAAATATTACAAAAACCCTTTGCTTTTAAACCTGAAGTTTTCTTGTTAGGCATCATACCGGAAGACGTTAACAGACAGGAAATGTATCTGATGCTGCACCTAATCACAGCGGCGAGGACTGCATTTGCTCAATATTGGAAAAGCGAGGAGCTGCCCACCGATGGATTGATTGTAAGAAAGATCTTGGAATGCGCAGAAATGGATAGATTGACTTTATCATTGAAGGAGAAAGAGAACACTGACTTCTATCGAACTTGGAATTCTTTCTATAACTGGCTGGAGAAATGGGACTTGGCATAAACTTAGAAATGTTTTCAAATCATTATAAATTGATTTGAATTTGACTTTAGAATGTTAAAAAATATGTAGTAGGGGGTTGACCTAGTAAATCCGATGTATGTGATGTTTGATGTTTTTAGTGTTAGTTTAAAATTTTAATAAAAAATTAAAAAAAATTAATTATTGGCATGGATCTCCTGCATGACAAGTGATTTGGCTCTTATCATCCACAACGTATTTCAGCAGTTAATGTCTGGGAGAAAAATGTACAAATGTAACTGTATTTTATCACAGATGTTGAATCTCAGGCTGGTGGGCAAAATCTGGCCTTCTTTGGGTCCCACGCCTCAAGGCTTCCCTGGATAGCCATGCTGCTTCCTTTGGCCCAACTCCATTTCCACTGACCAGAATCCTTCAGTGTTTCCCAGACTGCTTCTCTGCAGTCCCCCATTGCCGAACCCTGTTCCAAAATGCTGATGCCTGTCCCATGGCTTGGTTCCTGGCAGCAAGAGCTATAAGCTGCAATAGGCTGGAAGGCTGGGCTTGTCTGGGCCCTGCTTCTTTTGCCTTGAGTTCTGCCCACCACTGGAATGTGCCCACCCCCCGAGAATTGATGCTCTGGCAGAAAGGAATTCAGCTGCTGTCAAAGCAGCTGAACACCACTATGTTCCGTGGTTACCCTCTCCTCCCTTCAGGAACTCAAGAGTTAGGGCCAAGAGACAGCAAGGACTCCAAGGTCACCCAGGAAACTCTCTGGCTAAGTGGGGATGTGAACCAAAATTTCCCTAGTCTCAATCTGATGCTCTGACCACTCAGGATTCAGATGACACAATGAGCCACCCTATCCCTGTTAAGTCCAACAGATAATTGGGCACATTGGGGTAGGGTGCCTCCCCTTCCCCCCTTGGTCCTCTTGCAGGTATCCCAGTGGATCCCACAGGAGCACTGAGGTATCCCCTGTACCCTAGTAGTGGGTAGTGCCAGGGAACACTGGGAATGGGAGAATACACATTCTTCCAGCTTACTCACAAATAGGGTGGGGGTTAGTGTGTTGGCCTGGGACCTGGAAGATCTGTGTTCTAATCCCCACCCAGTCACTAGTCCACCTAACCTACCTCACAGGGTTGTTGCTGAGGATAAAATGGAATGGAAGAGGGGGATAATGGAAGATGTCTTGAAGGAGAAAAGGACAGGGTATAAATAGAATAAATAAATTAAATATGGAGTGAAGTGATGGCCAGTGCACTGGGCAGGGGTGGAGGAACATGTGTTCTGCTTGGCTTCTCTAGAGAAGAGTGAGTAGACTGTGGCCTGCTCTGGCCAGCAGCCCTGTGACAGCACAGGGAGACTCTGGCAGCCGTCTCGAAATGCTGTTTGGAAACTTTATGGCAGCTGCCATCAGGACTTGCCCAGAGCCTCTTAGCCAGAGTGGCAATACTTTTTGGCCACTCCTGCCAAGTATCTCTGTAGCAGTTTAGTTTGCCTGGCCTCAGACACCTTGGCTAGTCAGCCTGGAGTAAACAAACCGTAGATCAGGCCATGGCTTGTCAGGATGGCTTATAAGTCAAGCTTAACTTACCCTGGCAAAACCATTGTTGGTTTGGACCACAGACTAAACCAAAGTGGCTTTAAAGCCATGGCGGCTTAGTGTGAATCCTGTCATTTGTTCTAATTTAGAATTCCATTCCCTTTTTTTTGCCCAGGCTCGCTCTTACCATTTCTGGAAGGAGGGAGAATCATTGCAATGGAAGGGACCAGATGTCCAGCCACCCTGGGCCACTATAGTACATTTAAGTAACTATGCTTTCCTCACAGGTGCAGGGCAGCCTAAAGCAAATAAGCATCACTGCCCTTCCATCAGTCAATGGATGCTCATCTCATGGCTCATCTATTAAGCCAGGAGTAAGTTTTAGTTACAGCCATCAATGCAGTTTGTACTCACTCAGTCAGTAGGTTTTATCTGCAGCCTTTGTGCAACACCTAGGGGACTCCTGCTGCTGGGTCTGTTCATTGTCATGTGTGATGTTATGTGTTTAGGTTATCTCCGTGCTTACCTTTTTCATGAAAATTTGACCCAAACATCTTCCAACAGCTTAATTAGTGTAATGTTAAACTTATGGAATTTGCTATCATGAAACATACTGACAGTTACAAACCAGACCAACTCTAAAAAAGGACTGGACTAATATGAAAAAATAAGGCTATCAATGGCTACTGGTTACAATGTCTGCACATGACCTCCAGGATCAGCCTCTATATACCAGTTGGAGAACATGGAGTGGAGGGCTGCGGGCTTCCCATTGGGACTGGTGCCAGATGCCCGATGGCATCTCGTGGGCCAGCAAACTGGACTAGAAAGATCTCTGGCTGGATCCCACAGGACTCTTTTTCTGTCTCCTGTATCAGGAATCCAAATGCAGTGGGGAAATTTCATTGCAATGACTACATGCTCATGTACAGCTGCCACAGTTGAATGGATTACATCTCACCTCAAGTACTTCCCCAAAGGGTCAGCCTTCTTTGACACACAAGGATATCACATACAAGAGAAGCTGGTCAGGTAAGGGGAAATTCTGCTGGCTGGTCAATGGGAGCTTCCCTACTGGGACATATGGTAAGGGAGGGCGCTAAGGATTGTCATCAAGATTTTTAATGGAGTTAACCCCCCATGCACTGGCCTTGGTCTTGATTTCCCCTCTCTTCACAGTTGCTACTGGTCAATGAGTTAGATCCAGAGGAGACCCGCTGAACACATGTATGACTTCAGTCACAGGTACTTAGGCCAATGTCTGAGCCTGGGGACTAGCAGGTTGCACCAAAGCCTTCCCAGAAAGCAGATCACACAATTTCCTGTGTATCCTCCGTAATATGTTACATTTTCCTCAATCTTTGGTTAACGTGTGCGTCCTACATTCAGATCGCATCTGAGGGGGAGGTTAAGACCGAATGCTGAAGGTGATTCAAGAATGAGCAGTGGCAGGGAAGGGCCTTTCTAAAAGAGGTAGGAAATTTATAGGTGGTTTTTTAATTGCATGTTTTGGTTGTTTAGATAGTTGAATTGTCTTTTACGTAAACCACCTCGTACAGCCTTCTAGGTCAAAAGGTGGAGTAGAAATTACACAATAAATTATATTATATAGGAGTTAAATGATCTGTTTCTTTAATGAGGCTGCAACGTAACCTGGAAGACACGATTGCATGAGATTGGACAAAGCTATTAAGGTCAATTTGAATGAGGTTTTTTTTTCCCCTACCAGCTATACTGAGTAAAACGTAACTCTGTTCCCACTGTTGTCTTTGTGGAATCTGTTTATATATTTCTGTCTTTTTCATGCATTGCACAAGGAACTTACTTTGAAACACTTGAAGTGCAATTATGTGCCCAGCCTTATTTATTAAGTGTCCTTCCTGTGTTTTCACTGCAAACCATGCTCAAGCAGACCAACAATGAAACATGAGATATAATATAAATTATAATTAAAACATAAAAGCAAACCAATAAAAACCCTTTCCAAGACCACTGATGACATGTTTCCATCCCCATCCACAAAGAGGTAGGAGCTCTGCAGTTTAGAGCAGACAGGGAATGGCGAAGCTGAGCCTTGCAGGCTGCAAGTGATTCTCAGAGACCCTCTGTGCAGTCCACTCTGAGTGTCCCGCCCCCAGGCCCACCCTGCATGCCTCTGCTGCCACCATCACAGCTGATTCCAGGGGGAATCAGGATGCCCAAAGATGGCTCTTCCCTTGCACTTTGGTTCTCCTGCTCCAGTGGTCCAGTCAATATTGCTGTTCCCATGCTAAAGTGTGTGTGGCAGGAGGAGTAGGAGTAAGGTTAAAACCAATCTCCCTTCTCCCAGCAATCCTGTCTTGACTGGAGAACCCACACTCATGAACTGAGTGTGGATTGTCATTGAACCATGGCTTGTGGAAATGTAGGTTATCATGTTGTCTGAATTCACCCAAGATAACAAACCATGGTTCAATGACACCACTCCCAGCTCACAACTTAATAACGAACTTTGGGTTCTCTTTATGGTTTGCTCATGCTTAACAAACTATAGCTTGTTCGTACAGTTGGATTCAGACAACAGGATAACCCATGTTTCAACAACAAGTCAAAGTTCAATGACAACCCACACTTAATCCAGACAACCCTGGAGTGTTGGATATTCTGTTGTCTGAATCCAGTCTTTGCACATCTGTTGTCAAGATATTTTGCTGCCTACACAAGTGAAGGAGCAGAAGGTGCAAAGCCGACCACATTATTTGGGAACATGAGCTAGAAAACATTAGAAGAGTTTTTCCTCACTCCCAACAATAAAAAATACAATATTTATTAACTAAATAGTCAACAACTTGCTGCCCCTTAAGATCTGCTGCCTGAAACAGCAGCCTCAGGGTAGGGCCAGCCATGTTTGTTGTATGAATCGGTAGTGCATCACTGCTTCAAATGTATGTAAAGTATAGAGAGTGTCACAAGTTCCCCTTCCAGCATCATCCACTTGTTTGGTAGCTAGAGGTTCCCACAGACAGTCCTCTATTTGAAGGACTTCCTTCTCTGAGTCAATCCACCAAGAAGATGCAGCAATTTACAACACTGGATGAGGAGGGTGGAAGCAGTGTTGATCATGGTCACATGCTTTCTGCACATTCATTTTTCAGATCTTATAACAGCCTTCCCCAAGCTGGAGTCCTCCAGATGTACCCAATGGCATGGCTGCTCAGGACATACTGGGGGTTGTAGTTCAACACGTCTTCAACACATTGAGAAAGACTGCCTCTAAAAGTTCAGCTCAAGCAAGCAAGGACTGGAGCCCTGCCTCAGTAAATTCCGGCTCAGATTGAGGGCTGGTTAAAGTAGATTCATCAAAGTGTTAAGTAGCCTTCCTATGGTATTTATGCAGAACTTAGTCCCACTAGATTCAACCAAGCTTATTCCCTTGTAAGAGAGGCTAGGACTTTCAGCCTAACAACGGACCTTTTGGCTCTGGCCTCTTGGCGTTGTCCCTTGTCCGCGTTCCTTAGCTGTGGCCTGGGCTGTCTGGGGACTCCCTTCCCTGGGATGCAGAGGTTTTTGTTTTGCTTTGTTTTCCTCCCTCCCTCCCTTCCATGCTGTGCTTTGTTTTTCCTCCAATTTAAATTTAAGTTTATTTTATCCTTGTGTGTTTGTGCATGTGAGTTTTTGTCTGGGAGAACTGGGTGAGTGAGAGCAACTGCACGACAAACAAGGCAGGGGACCAAGGTAAGGTCTCGGAAGGGATCCCAATGGCAGACCAGGAGATGGCCTTGGTGGGAGTCACGGGTGTTGCTGTCCACTGCGAT